ATTTTAGTAATTTTTGCAATTTCTGCAATTTTCAGGAAATTTTGCAATTTTCAGGAATTTTTACAATTTTTAGTAATTTTTGCAATTTTTGCTATTTCTGCAATTTTTAGGAATATCTCCAATTTTTGCAATTTTCAGGCATTTTTGCAATTTTTGCAATTTTCAGGAATTTTTGAAATTTTTGCAATTTTCAGGATTTTTTGAAATTTTTACAATTTTCAGGAATTTTTCTAATTTTCAGGAATTTTTGCAATTTCTGCCATTTTTGGAATTTTTGCAATTTCAGGAAATTTTGCAATTTTCAGGAATTTTTGCTATTTTTGCAATTTTCAGGCATTTTGCAATTTTTACAATTTTCAGGAATATTTGCGATTTTTGCTATTTTCAGGAATTTTCGCAATTTTCAGAAATTTTTCCAATTTTCAGGAATTATTGCTAATTCTGCAATTTTCAGGAATTTTTGCAATTTTCAGAAATTTTTCAATTCTAGGAATTTTTGCAACTTTTGCTATTCGTGCAATTTCTGCAATTTTCAGGAATTTTTGCAATTTTCAGGAATTTTTGCAATTTTTGCAATTTTCAGGCATTTTTGCGATTTTTGCAATTTCAGCAATTTTTGCAATTTTCAGGAATTTTTGCAATTTTTGCAATTTTCAGGAATTTTTGCAATTTTTGCAATTTCTGCAATTTTCAGGAAATTTTGCAATTTTCAGGAATTTTTACAATTTTTGCAATTTTAGGAATTTTTGCAATTTTTGCTATTTCTGCAATTTTCAGGAATTTTTGCAATTTTTGCAATTTTCAGGAATAATTGCAATTTTTGCAATCTTCAGGCATTTCTGCGATTTTTGCAATTTTCAGGCATTTCTGCAATATTCTGCAATTTTCAGGAATTTTTGCAATTTTTGCAATTTTCAGTAATTTTTGTAATTTTTGCAATTTTTGCAATTTTCAGGAAATTTTGCAATTTTCAGGAAATTCTGCAATTCTCAGGAACTTTTGCGATTTTTGCAATTTTCAGTCATTTTTGCGATTTTGCAATTTTCAGAGGAAATAAGGAATTCTCACAATTTTTCGGAATTTTTGCAATTTTTGCATTCTTCAGGAATTTTTCCAATTTTTGCATTCTTCATGAATTTTTGCAATTTTCAGAAATTTTACCAAAATTCCAGGAATTTTTGCAATTTTTGCTATTTCTGCAATTTCTGCAATTTTCAGGAATTTTTGCAATTTTGCAATTTTCAGGAATTTTTGCAATTTTTGCAATTTTCATGCATTTTTGCAATTTCAGCAATTTTTGCAATCTTCAGAAATTTTTGAAATTTTTGCAATTTTCAGGAATATTTGCAATTTTTGCAATTTCTGCAATTTTCAGGAAATTTTGCAATTTTCAGGAATTTTTACAATTTTTGCAATTTTTAGGAATTTTTGCAATTTTTGCTATTTCTGCAATTTTCAGGAATTTTTGCAATTTTTGCAATTTTCAGGAATAATTGCAATTTTTGCAATTTTCAGGCATTTTTGCGATTTTTGCAATTTTCAGGCATTTCTGCAATATTTGCAATTTTCAGGAATTTTTGCAATTTTTGCAATTTTCAGTAATTTTTGTAATTTTTTGCAATTTTTGCTATATCTGCAATTTTCAGGAAATTTTACAATTTTTGCAATTTTCAGGAATATTTACAATTTTTGCAATTTTCAGGCATTTTTGCGATTTTCAGGAATTTTTGCGATTTTTGCAATTTCAGTCATTTTTGCGATTTTTGCAATTTTCAGAGGAAAATAAGGAATTCTCACAATTTTTCGGAATTTTTGCAATTTTTGCATTCTTCAGGAATTTTTCCAATTTTTGCATTCTTCAGGAATTTTTCCAATTTTCAGAAATTTTTGAAATTTTTGCAATTTCCTCGAATTTTTGAAATTTTTACAATTTCCAGGAATTTTTCCAATTTTCAGGAATTTTTGCAATTTTCAGAAATTTTTCTAATTTTCAGGAATTTTTGCCATTTCTGCAATTTCCAGGAATTGTTGCAATTTTCAGGAATTTTCGCAATTTTCAGGAATTTTAGCAATTTTCAGAATTTTTTCTAATTTTCAGTAATTTTGCAATTTTTGATATTTCTGCAATTTCTGCAATTTTCAGGAATTTTCGCAATTTTTGCAATTTTCAGGAATTTTTGCAATTTTCAGGAATTCTTTGCAATTTTCAGGCATTGCGATTTCTGCAATTTCTGCAATTTTTGCAATTTTTAGTAATTTTTCCAATTTTCAGGAATTTTTGCAATTTTTGCAATTTCTGCAATTTTCAGGAAATTTTGCAATTTTCAGGAATTTTTACAATTTTTGCAATTTTTACAATTTTCAGGAATTTTTGCGATTTTTGCAATTTTCAGAGGAAAATAAGGAATTCTCACAATTTTTCGGAATTTTTGCAATTTTTGCATTCTTCAGGAATTTTTCCAATTTTTGCATTCTTCAGGAATTTTTCCAATTTTCAGGAATTTTTGAAATTTTTGCAATTTTCTCGAATTTTTGAAATTTTTACAATTTCCAGGAGTTTTTCCAATTTTCAGGAATTTTTGCAATTTTCAGAAATTTTTCTAATTTTCAGGAATTTTTGCCATTTCTGCAATTTTCAGGAATAATTACAATTTTTGCAATTTTCAGTCATTTTTGCGATTTTTGCAATTTTCAGAGGAAAATAAGGAATTCTCACAATTTTTCGGAATTTTTGCAATTTTTGCAATTTTCAGAGGAAAATAAGGAATTCTCACAATTTTTCGGAATTTTTGCAATTTTTGCATTCTTCAAGAATTTTTGCAATTTTTGCAATTTTTGCATTCTTCAGGAATTTTTGAAATTTTTGCAATTTTCTCGAATTTTTGAAATTTTTACAATTTCCAGGAATTTTTCCAATTTTCAGGAATTTTTGCAATTTTTCTAATTTTCAGGAATTTTTGCCATTTCTGCAATTTCCAGGAATTGTTGCAATTTTCAGGAATTTTTGCAATTTTTAGTAATTTTTGCAATTTTTGCTATTTCTGCAATTTTCAGGAAATTTTACAATTTTTGCAATTTTCAGGAATAATTACAATTTTTGCAATTTTCAGGCATTTTCGCGATTTTTGCAATTTTCAGTCATTTTTGCGATTTTTGCAATTTTCAGAGGAAAATAAGGAATTCTCACAATTTTTCGGAATTTTTGCAATTTTTGCATTCTTCAGGAATTTTTGCAATTTTTGCAATTTTTGCATTCTTCAGGAATTTTTGAAATTTTTGCAATTTTCTCGAATTTTTGAAATTTTTACAATTTCCAGGAATTTTTCCAAACAATTTCCAGGAATTTTTCCAATTTTCAGGAATTTTTGCAATTTTTTTAATTTTCAGGAATTTTTGCTAATTCTGCAATTTCCAGGAATTTTTGCAATTTTCAGGAATTTTTGCAATTTTCAGGAATTTTTGCAATTTTTGCAATTTTTTCTAATTTTCAGGAATTTTTGCAATTTTTGCTATTCCTGCAATTTTCAGGAATTTTCGCAATTTTTGCAATTTTCAGGAATTTTTGCAATTTTTGCAATTTTCAGGAATTTTTGCAATTTTCAGGCATTTTTGCGATTTCTGCAATTTCTGCAATTTTTGCAATTTTCAGGAATTTTTGCAATTTTCAGGAATTTTTGCAATTTTTGCAATTTTCAGAAATTTTTGCAATTCCTGCAATTTTCAGGAAATTTTGCGATTTTTGCAATTTTCAGTCATTTTTGCGATTTTTGCAGAGGAAAATAAGGAATTCTCACAATTTTTCGGAATTTTTGCAATTTTTGCATTCTTCAGGAATTTTTGCAATTTTTGCATTCTTCAGGAATTTTTGAAATTTTTGCAATTTTCTCGAATTTTTGAAATTTTTACAATTTTCAGGAATTTTTGCAATTTTCAGGAATTTTTGCAATTTTCAGAAATTTTTCTAATTTTCAGAAATTTTTGCCATTTCTGCAATTTCCAGGAATTGTTGCAATTTTCAGGAATTTTTGCAATTTTCAGGAATTTTTGCAATTTTCAGAATTTTTTCTAATTTTCAGTAATTTTTGCAATTTTTGATATTTCTGCAATTTCTGCAATTTTCAGGAATTTTCGCAATTTTTGCAATTTTCAGGAATTTTTGCAATTTTTGCAATTTTCAGGAATTCTTTGCAATTTTCAGGCATTGCGATTTCTGCAATTTCTGCAATTTTTGCAATTTTCAGGAATTTTTGCAATTTTCAGGAATTTTTGCAATTTTTGCAATTTTCAGGAATTTTTGCAATTTTTGCAATTTCTGCAATTTTCAGGAAATTTTGCAATTTTTACAATTTTTGCAATTTTTACAATTTTCAGGAATTTTTGCGATTTTTGCAATTTTCAGGAGTTTTTGCAATTTTCAGAAATTTTTCTTATTTTCAGAAATTTTTCTAATTTTCAGGAATCTGCAATTTTTGGTATTTCTGCAATTTTCAGGAATTTAGCGATTTTTGCAATTTTCAGGAATTTTTAGGAATCTACAATTTTCCGGAATTTTTGCAATTATTGCAATTTTCAGGGATTTCTGCAATTTTTGCAATTTTCAGGCATTTTCGCGATTTTTGCAATTTTCAGGCATTTTTGCGATTTTTGCAATTTTCAGGAATTTTTACAATTTTCCGGAATTTTTGCAATTTCTGCAATTTTCAGAAATTTTTGCAATTTTTGCAATTTTCGCAATCTTCAGGCGTTTTTGCGATTTTTGAAACTTGCAAAAATGCCTGAAAATTACAAAAATTCCTGAAAATGGCAAAAATTGCAAAAATCGCAAAAATTCCTGAAAATTGCAAAAATGCCTGATTTGTGGCAATCTTATCGTTTGTGGAATTTTTACATTTGCTATGGATTGAATACGTTAAGTACATTTTCGAAAAAAAACCATCTCATGATAAATGCAAAATTACCAAACATTCAATTCTATCCAATAATAACTTATAATTTTCCAGGATCAGGTGACTTTCTGGAGACCGCCTTACCCGCCATCTGCAGAGCCGTCCAGCGTCTGTCCGTCGAGGTGCAGGGCCGGCTGGCGAGGATCTGGGCGGGCGCGGCGGCGCGGTCGAGCATCAAGAGCATCTTGGAGAACCTGCAGCAGCTCATCACTTTGCGCGTCATCATGACGCCCTTTCAAAGGGACTTTATCGTGCAGGACGAGAACGTCATCACGTCCGCCACCAAACTCATGAAGGTAACATTTTTATGCTGTTTCTACTTACACACTTACTTTTTATTCATCCTTCACAAATCATTTTTACACTAGCAAATTTATTAATTCCATATATCTTGTACATACAATAATGATGAGACACTACACTGTTTTACCACTAACCAAACCGATTTTTTAAACGCCTCGACACGTGTTTCGCTAACTATGTTAGCATCTTCAGGAGAAGATTAAAACTAAATATCCTATTCTAGTGTGCTGCTTATACAGTCTGTCCAAGATAAGGTTGAACAGCATGGGGATCTCGGAAACGGTAGGAGATACGAAGTCGTTTAAATGGGGAAAAAGTTGCGCAATTTTCAAAATCATTTTTAGTTTTTGAGTTATATCGAAAAAAGTGAATTTTTGGAATATCTATTTTATTTTTTTTCTCCGTTATTATCAGAGATACAGCAAAACTGAGAATACTTTTTTATAGCAACTTTTGATGACGTTCAACGTGGTGATACCGATTTTTTTATGCGATGTTTCGTATTCGTGAAACCATCATCAACTTTTGTTTTTTATATGCGGTCCTGATAATTTTTTCACAGATTCTGAAAGGTTTTTTTATTCTGAATTCAACCATGTATCATACAAGGTGGTTTATGTGTGTTTCGACCTATTTTTAGCCATCATCAATGTTTTTTCGAAATTCCAAAGGAAACATGCCATCAGTTCCACTTATTTTGAAGGAAAATTAGTCAACTCACTGATACCTCATCAACTGGTTCCAATCTATCATTTTGCGAAAACAAAAATTCCATCCATACAAATTCAGAATATGTCAAGCGCTAAAACCAGGCGATGACGAAAGGCGCAGGACATTCTGTGAGTGGTATACCAGGAAATGTCAAAATTTTGCAGATTTCCCTCGAAAAATCATCTGGACTGATGAAAGCATGGTCACTATAATCATGGTATCTTCGATAGAAAAAATACACATTATTGTTCACGAGAAAATGAACATTTATACATTACAGCAATTGTCAAAGTTAAGTTGTTGAAGTAATTCGTGTAAGAATTCATAAACAATTTTAAGCGGTGCATTGATCGAATGATGTAGTGAGATATTTTTTATTCACTTTTCAGTATTGAATAACTAATCCATCGAGTTTGACACTAAATGATCAGAAATAAGTGGAACTGATGGCTTTTTTCCTTTGGAAGTTCGAAAAAACATTGATGATGGATAGAAATAGGTCGAAACACATTCGAATCACTTTGTATAATACATTGTTGAATTCAGAATAAAAAAACCTTTCAGAATCTGTGAAGAAATTATCAGGACCGTATTTAAAAAACAAAAGTTGATGATGGTTCTTTGGATACGAAACGTTGCATAAAAAAATCGGTATCACCACGTTAAACGTCATCAAAAGTTGCTATGGAAAAGTATCTTCAGTTTTTCTGTATCTCTAATAATAACGGAGAAAAAAAAATAGATATTCCAAAAATTCACTTTTTTCGATATAACTCAAAAACTAAAAATAATTTTGAAAATTTTCGAAGGCTCTTGATATGAGCCTCCGAATGCGCAACTTTTTCCCCATTTAAACGACTTCGTATCTCCTACCGTTTCCGAGATCCCCATGCTGTTCAACCTTATCTTGGACAGACTGTATACTAGGTATATGTTCACCCAACTGTGAAAAATACTAACCGTCAAGTTAATGTTTGTCATGGTTGATCTCACATCTTAAGTTTTATATTACTAAACTATATAGAGGGTTATATGAAATAGGTCTATTATCCTTATTCATTACTCTATTACTGTTCTTAAATATCTCTAATCTTTCATATGCATCTAATTTTCTAATATTATTAACTTGCTTAACTAATTTGAGGTTAGTAATATGTGTGTCATGATTGTGATTGAACATATGTTCGGCTACACAAGATTTATCTAACCTGCCATATTTCAAATGGGCTATGTGTTCTTTGAACCTTGCTTGTATGGGTCGCCTGGTTTGGCCTATATATGTTTTATCATACCAGGGACACCTGTTCTGAGTTTAGCTTGACTGACCACAGTATGTTTGTGTACAAAACCACTGTAATAAACAGTGAAAAAACTAGGCTTAGTAAATTCAGAGAATCTTTTTGGCGCTGACTCTTAGACTATAAGCACACTGGTTGTATCAAATTTCAGTGATTTCTCGCACTTGCATTAGCCTTCTAGGTCTTTGAGTTCTGTGACTGTAACAGACCATTGAAAAAACTCGTACAGGGTGGGCAAAATTGGGCGTTTTCACCGTCTATCTCAATAACTAGAGGAGTTATCGAAAAACCGATATACATGTTCCGGGTTCGATTTTGGAGAAACCTCGAATGGCACAATCAAAATTTCGATATCTTCATTCGTTTTAGAGATACAGGGGGAAATTGAAAATTTGCCGATTTCGATTTTATTTTCTGACTACTTTACGGTGAGAGGTATCAAAAAATTTCGAACGAATATTTATACAGTATGATGCGTGGAATCCATTGGCATCATCAGAAATTTTATACAGGGTGACGTTGAAAAGATACGGCAGCCAATCATGTTTTTTTTAATGGAACACCCCGTATATTTTGGCACACTTGAATAGTCCCAGGCGTTCTCATTACGAATATATATATAACCCTACCTTTTCCTTCCACAATTTCAGATATATTCGCAAAAATATATTCAGTGTGTCACATTTTTATGGTTACACCCCCGTATCTTCTGTAAAAATAATTGAGGTAGGATTCAAAAATTCGCAACTGTCAGAAAGATACAAATGATACACTCATGGAGTCATGGACCAAGTGGGATCATCTCCAATGATAACACTGCTCGCCAGCAGCTATGGAATCATCGATATTTCTGGATAATGCTATCAACAGGCAGAATCGAGGTTGAAAATGACACTCTGTATATATTCACCAAATGTGGAAAATAAATATCATAGGGAATGTAATCTCCAGATAAATGGATATTTGGTGAGAAATAAAATGGGAAATTATTCGATTTGATATCATTGTTATCAAGACATTTGATGAGATACAGAAATAAGACCAATAATTTACTCAATTAGGAAACCAGTAGGTTGTGTTGAACAATATAGCCTTATAGAAGATGTCCAAATTCTAGATACAGAACAATTTTTTTTATGGAACACCCCGTATATTTTGGCAGAGCTGGAAATTTCCCGTTTCAATTTCAAATATATATCTTATTTATTATCTCTTTGAACGCAAAAATATTAAGGCATACTAGAAATAATGGGTAAAGTATTATATTCAGGCATTCTGCCACAAAATATTATGATTGTTAATGTTTCCATCAATTATTCTTACAGAAGATACGGGGGTGTAACCATAAGAAACATGACACACTGAATATATTTTTGCGAATATATCTGAAATTGTGGAAGGAAAAGGTAGGGTTATATTTATATTTGTAATGAGAACGCCTGGGACTATTCAACTGTGCCAAAATATACGGGGTGTTCCATTAGAAAAAACATAATTGGCTGCCGTATTTTCTCAACGTCACCCTGTATAAAATTTCTGATGATGCTAATGGATTCCACGCATCATACTGTATAAATATACGTTTGAAATTTTTTGATACCTCTCACCGTAAAGTAGTCACAAAATAAAATCGAAATCGGCAAATTTTTAATTTTCCCCTGTATCTCTAAAACGAATAAAGATATCGAAATTTTGATTGTACCATTCGAGGTTTCTCCAAAATCGAACCCGGAACATGTATATCGGTTTTTTGATAACTCCTCTAGTTATTGAGATAGACGGTGAAAACGCACAATTTTGCCCACCCTGTACTATTCCTCCGCAGATCCTGTACTACGCCAACATGCTCGCCGGCTGCCTGGAATCGCCGTCGCTGCGCTGCCCGCCACCCGCGGCCGACCCCGCCTCGGCCGCCCCCTCCAAGGCCAAGGGCTGCCCCGTGCACGACCCGCTGGCCGACGAGCTGGGCGTGCACGTGCTCGACTGCCGGCGGCCGCACGTCCCGTTCGAGGAGTTCTACAACGAGCTGCTGAGCGACACCGTGGAGATGGACAGGGATTTCGCGAATTACAAGAGCGAGTCAGGTGAGTGGACGTTTTGGGGAGGTTAATAATAATATTATCATCATCATCTTTATTATTCACAAGAAACAATTGACGTATATGTTTATAACAGGGAACATTAAAAAATAAACCTTAATGTATTACATTACATTTGAAATGTAGTATTTATAGGTATAATATCATTATTCTAGTAATTCTCATAGTTTGAGCTGATCCTTGTTTGAGTGAATGAATGATTAAAATAATTGTTATGTTATATTATGATCTCAATATGGAAGACATGACAATGTGAATGTATATTAGCATTAATTTTAAAATTCAAATTGGAATGTTTATAATTGTGTTTGACTGTGAATGAACAATCACAAAGAGAGAGAGAAACTCAAAGTCATTACCACACTAGTTCATTAAATGAACGAAAATGGTAGATAACGAGAGAAAACAACTACTTTCCTGGCTATATGCCAAGCAAAACATTGTATTATATCCTCCTGAAATCTATGCAATAGTTCGTATAGACGAATAAAATCGCGAGTGTTCATTTCCTAAACGCCGAGGTGCACTTAAATGGTTCCGGGTGACTATACCTGCAGACCGGATTCGAGGTGTTGGCTCTCATCAGTACATGGCTGTCCCAGATAGCTTCCTGACCGCTATCTGGTGCGAACCTGACCCAACACACACACCACGCCCCCCGAAAGGTTGAATGCCCAGGATCAAGTGCCGCCATATAACTAGCTTACGTTATATGATAGCTCCTCATCCCCATGTCCATCCACCCCCACTCACTAACGAGTGGACTTCAACCTTATGCATTTGGCAATTTGCAAATGTTTTATAAAACCCCTTACTTGGTTTCAGTCTTACGACTTTTAAACCTTTTTGTCTAATATGTGTTTCCTAGCCTGACTTTGCTTGGTGGTTCCCTACCCTAATGGAAAGCAAAATTGAGTTTATGTCTTATTATTATTGGTTTACTTTTTTATAGGGTATCAAAGGAGAGACTCTTTTGTTTAATTATCTGATGATTATTATACAACTTTAAACAATATCCCATTTCAGGTGAAATGGGAGTGACTTGTTGCCCGACTGGCGTATTTGGCTTTTTCCCTAGTTGAATAAACAATGTTAATATTTTGAATTTATATCTGTCTTGCTCAGTTCATTCATGACAATGTTGAAATCTTGAGAGCGATGAATGTTGAAATATCCAAACAAGCCAAAGAATCGGTTGAGACGGCAACGCTGTATTATCACGATCGGCGTATTATAGTACTTGTGACACCAGTACCTCTGACGATTTTCCGTCGTGTTCTAACTAGATCATTTCTTTGGAAACTTATTTTAGGAAATCTAGATGGAATAAAAATTTTTTAAAATTCTGTGCCTCTTCTCGTCGTCATAGTATTTTTTATAGTAATTAGTGTTTTTGACTATTCAATTCTTGTGTAGAAGATGTGGATCTACCCTATAATGTCTGTTTCCCCTCCACATTGTCCTGGAGAGGAAAGGCCAGAGTGGTTTTCTATAGAATCCAGTCATTGGAAAATCAAATTAGAGGGGGCGACTGTTGGATTACTTCAGAATACTGAGTGAAATCAAAAATCTCCAATACTAAGACACACATAAAGCATTCTTTCAAAGTCTTTCAAGGTACCTACTCTAGGGACCATTTACTTGTAAAAAGAAGTGGATTGTACAATGGATTGTAATCTCTAGGGGGAGTCACAATAGACTCATCTAACTTATCCTCTTATCCAATCATTCTTCTCTCCATGATCGTCACACTAGACAATATAACTTGTTTCATCTTGAAGCTGCGAATTCTAAACTTGGACAAAAAAGTTTACACATGGGGCGATTTCGAAATTCAATAAATTACCAGAATATATCAAAAACAGCCCAAATATTATACAATTCAAAAATAAAGTGAAGAAATATATCATATGCAAAGGAATGATCAAAGCTGAAAGACTATGATTTTCCTTTTTTTTTTTTCACTGTTTTTATTTTTCTCCTTCTTGTTCACTATAATATGACTGTTATTTTGAGATATCTTAATGATATGTAAGTTTTGTTCACTATTTGTAATTTCAATTATACAACAGTCGATAATACTTCATGAATGATCTTATAGCAGGAATTACTGTCTGCTCATTCATGTCATTCCTACTCGATAATTAATTATACTTTATATATTATTTGTATGAAATGTATCAATGAAGAAGAGATTGAAGAGAATGTAACGCAATAACTAACTGAAATAAATAAAAAATAAATAGTCTATGTTGGTATTTTTTTTTAGGTAAATTCACTTTTATGTACTATCCATTCATATTGACGCCGGCTACGAAAACGATGGGACTTTATTTTGACAACAGGATACGAATGTACTCCGAAAGGAGGATAAGTTTTTTGCAAACGGTGACTGGGATGCCGTCGCAGCCATTCTTGAAGTTGAAAGTCAGAAGAGACCATATCATAGATGACGCCCTAGTGGAAGTGAGTATCATACAGAAAAGATCAAATGTCAAACTTCTTTCTCTTCCTTCAAAAGAAATAAGCTTAGTCCTAGCATTTCTACATAATAAAAATCCTCAATCCTAAATCTACGCATGCCCTACACAGTTTATGTGTCTCGTCACATTGTTCGAAAACGCCGTTATTGATATGGATATATCTACTGTAAGCCATCGTTTCATATTATATTGAAGAATTTCCATTTTCATGGTATCTGAACCTATGAAATATCAATTTGTGGTAATATCAAACAATCAACCTTCATTCCATTCAATATCTAGACCGCTATATGTCATAACCCACTGTATCGGTTTCTCTTGAAAATGCACTGCACTGGTGCAATCCAAATGAGACTCAAATGTTGGAACGTCAAATTAACATAACCTCGACATAGCCATTTACAACAATTTCTTGTGGACGATTTGTTTCTAGCTACCCCATATATTAGTGATATAATTTTTAAACATATACAATATACAGACAGCAATCGCTATAGGCGACTGAATTGAAAGTGGTCGGTTGTACTATATGAAAGTACATTGTTTTGAAATGGTTCATATGCTTGTGTGTATTATTTAGATTTTTTGATAGTGATTTGAGCAAGAAAAACTTCAGTTTTGACTGTTTATTTGTGTACTCTTGTGAATCGAGGGAGCTTTTCAGCAGACATTCGTTTAATAAGGTATGTTTCACTACTTCAAATATAAATACCCCAATTTAGTTACGTTAGTTTGCATTCCGTTCCCTTTCAGTAGTGAAATAAATATTGCATTGGGTAAATATGATGTTTAAGTTCGCGCGAGTAGGTATTTGAGATGTACATATATTGTAGTCGATTCCTCTATACATGTGATTATGAAAGAGAAAAAGTCATCAACGCTGGATGTATGAGTATGTGCGAATAATTGATCTACCTGGTAGGAAAAATTGAAAATAAGTGCTTTGTTTTGAGTAAGGTCTTACTTTTTAGAACTCCTACTATAATATTCCACTTCTGGGAATAATATGCAACTGAATTCAATCCCGAAGTTCAGAGGATATCTTTCAATTATACACTGAAATCATCATTTTCTGTGAAATGCAGAAACCTTTCATGAATAACATGTGAAACCAAGCAATAGAACTGATAAAAACATACTTTTTCCAGGCAGTTTTTTATAACAATGAATTTTCTGAGCTGAAACCAATTAACTTGGGTGTGCCTCAGGGATCGGTACTGGGTCCGCTGTTGTTAGTGATTTATATTAATGATCTCTACAACTATATGAAACAATATCACAGTTTATTATTTGCTGACGATACATCCCTCATTTACTCCTCAAAAAATCTTTCATCTCTTGCTGATCAATCTGTCGAAATACAAGGAAAAGCCAACTATTGGCTTAGTGTTGATAAACTTATGATGAATAACGATAAATCACAAAACATGGTGATATCAACGGCTTAGCCATCACCTGAGTTCCAAACTGTCAAGTAATTGTAAAGTAAAGTAAATTATCGAGTACTCTATTTTTACTTCGACAACTAAAACCTATAACTTATTTCACTACATTGAAAATAGTTTTTTGCTCACTAATTCAATCTCATATTTCTTGGGGAAATTCTAGTGATGCACAATGTATTTTTATATTACAAAAAAAGGCTGTGAGAATTCTTGTTGGAATTGGTTACAGAGATTCATGTCGTGATTCATTCATAAATCACAAAATAATGTCAGTACCTTCAATGTATATTTATACTAGTATAGTAGAGATTCACAAAAAGCTCCCCTGCTTCCTAAGCAATCCAGTTTACATAATCACAATACACGCATCAGTGATCTTATTAGACCTCAACGTTACAAACTCAGGAAATCACAAAAAAATTCTCATAACCTCAGCTTATACAGTGTCTTTCAAAAGTATCGGAACGGTCTCATATTTCAGGAACGGCTTGAGAAAAATTCACGAAATTTTCTACAGGATGATTATTGATGATGTCCAATTCAATGGTGGCATCGGCAATGTTGCCAAGTTTAAAGTTTTTCAGATATTAGGAGTAACTTTATTTTTTCAAATGGAATACCCCATTTATTTTTATTGCAATTAATTAAGCGCCTCCTAATTACTTGAGTCCCTGAATATCAGATTCTTAATTAATGTGATTTTCGAAATATGACAACATAGCATTTTCGTTAAAAAGTTCTGGAACGGTCCCATATTTCAGAAACGGCTCAGAGAAAATTTATGAAAACTTCGACAGGATGGTTGTTGATGATGCCCGATTCAATGGTGATATCGGCAATGTTGCCAAATCAACAGTTTTTTAGATATTTAGTTACTCCTAATATCTGCAGAACTGACTGTAAACTTGGCAACATTGCCGATGCCACCATTGAATCGGACATCATCAATAATCACCCAGTAGAAATTTTCGTGAATTTTTCTCAAGCCGTTCCTGAAATATGAGACCGTTCCGATAGTTTTGAAAGACACTGTATAATGCTCTTCCTGCCAGTATTAAAACTATGAATATGTTTCATTTCAAGAGAGTTGTGAGAGATTATTATGAAAAAATTGCTTTCACTGGATGCAGAATATCTGGCTCACGTTAGTGGTCACAATTTTGATACAAGGAACACACTTGCCGAACATCCACTCTTGAGGGAAACGTAAATGTGTATTTTGTTTTTGTTTTTGATTGTATATTATTCGTCTTTGATTGTATATTTTTTGCCTTTCATTGTAAATTATCATTTTTTACATTCTTTTCACCAAAATGGAATTATTCAGGACTTGCTACAAATGTATGAATGTACATCAAGTAGTGAATTAAACTCTACTCTACTCTAATGATTCAAGATACTCTACTGAAGAATTCAAACTCGAAAAGTATCACAATGGCTACTAAACTTTCGATAAAATTTATGGAAGCTCGAATGTAAACAAGCATTCAATGTACTTTCCATTGGTAACTTCATCATCTGCTTATTGCTTATTTTGAATCGCCTATAAAATTCACGAATCGAATGCGCTTGCTCCAAAATGGGTGTTTTTCTCCAGTTAGAGATGATCTCGATGGAGAACCCCAGCGACCTGAAGAAGCAGCTGGTGGTGGAGTTCGAGGGCGAGCAGGGCATCGACGAGGGCGGCGTCTCCAAGGAGTTCTTCCAGCTGGTCATCGACGAGATCTTCAACCCGGATTACGCCACCTTCGCCGTCCAGCCGGACTCGCAGACGGTGTGGTTCAACCCGACGAGCTTCGAGAGCGATGCGCAGTTCACCCTCATCGGCATCGTTTTGGGTGAGAGGCACCACAGATTATATAGCAATAGATGAACACCGCGATTCATGCATGAATCATTGGATAGCATGCGCCAATAATCCCAGACGCCAAACACGGATGAATAATTGTATTTTATTTTATTTATTCATTCAACGGGGATACACCGCCAAAATTCGTAAAATACAATACTTATGTGATATTTTCAGTAAAAGTACTAAATCTAGAACTACTACACAAATAAACCGGGCGGTCGAGCGATTGCCCGATGGGCTGGGGCCCTTTGGGGCCGGTAGAAATAGTGAATGAATAAAGAAATATATGTCTTCTCAGCAGCTTTCTGAAGTTTGAGACCACTATAACTGCAATTTTGAATAGATAAATCTTCGAGCTAACTACGAATATCAGGTACCAATGGATATTTTAGAAGCATACCGAATCGTCGAAAAAAACATGGAATCCTTGAAAAAATATCGCGAGAATATGATGTCATTTTGATTGATACACATAAATTCATTGAAAAAGCAAATGAACTATTTATTTTCAAATACTGTCTGTAGGTTAATCGAGGAGGTGGTATATTCATTATTCCAAATTTTTTGTGATTTTCTCTCCTCGTTTCTATAAAATAAAAATATGAATATTATTTCAAATTTCACTGCATTTAAAGAATTTTCCTATCAGAGAGCCTAAAAGAAAAATTCACAAGCAAGCATATTTTTATTTTATAGAAACGAGGAGAGAAAATCCCAAAAAATTTGGAATAATGAATATTTATTTTCAAAGAACACGAATTAACACTTATGAGAAAGGTGATGATGAAGCCCCTCAAAATCCCAAGAAGAAATTCAAAATTGAGACTTTCAATGTAATCATTGATAATATTATCATCGCACTGGAATTTAGATTCAAGAAACATAAATAATTGTTTCATGACTTTGAACTATTTGATCCGTCAAGATTCACTGATAATCAAATAATATTGACTGAAAACTCAATGAAGATGATTCATGAAAATATCAAAAATTATTATCCTGCTGATGAAATGAACCTTGAAAGATTTTACCTCGAAGAGGGAAGACTGTCGAGTACTTCATCAGAAGATATGATGGGTGGTGGAACTTATGTCTTCGATGTAGAAGAGGAATTGATTTCATTAAAACACAAGTTTCGCAAAACATTTTCACTTTGTTGCTTCCATTGTTTGCAAAAATACAATTTATACGTTGAGATCTATCCATATTCAGATAAAATGATTCTCACCCTTTCAGTATCCCAGGTTTCGTGTGAAAGATCTTTCTCAAAATTAAAATTATTCTTGATTAGGCTAAGGAATTATCTGAGCCTAGAACATTTGGGGGCTTTCATCATGATGAGCTGCGAAAAATCGATTTTACAATCAATAAGAAGCAGCGATATCATTTCAGATTTCGTTGAGAAATGTGGATCCATGAGAGGTTCACTATTTTTTTAATTTCGATATCTAATGCGGCTTATGTTTTATTTTGGATAAATAATTTACCTAGTCTTTTTGTAGCTTTAATATAATTTAAAGAGTATGTTCCTCTACCATAGAATTATCGTTTATTCTACCTATTCTTATTTAGAATGTTATTCATGTTATTCATTTCATTTTTCTTCAGTTTATTTGATGTTTTATCGACATATTTTTTCGCTTAAGTTTGATTAGAATCAAAATAATTTGTAATATTTTTTTTTCGTTTTTGTCTGTCACTAAAATATGTAATGAAATTATATGAATAGCTATATTAGCTTTGAAATTTTCTCTGGGCCGATTGAAAGGTCCAGTCCACCCCTGATTCAAATTACAAAGTTTGACATAATTATTTAAAATAAAAATATATGTAAAAATGGAAATATATTATATCATAATCCTACAAAGCACCACTCATTTGTCCAGATGGGATATTGTTGACCAATGATTTCTTAAAGTTATTGAAGGATGGGTTGGAAAAATCCACGTTTGTATTATTTGCATTCCTCATTACACGTGTCAACGGGCTGTTTTGATATAATGATAATTTCACTTTTATGGACATAACCATGATACAAATAAACATTGATGAATATAAATGTTTTGAAGGTTTGTTGAAAGGCAGAGTTCAAAATTCTGGTCAAAAACAGATTTTGTTCTTCCACTCAACCATCAGTAATTTGAATGCTAGTCATTTTAAACAGAACAGAATGAAGGGAACATATGTGATAAATACAAAAATATCAAATTCAACAAAATGCCTCAAACAACCTAAAAAAAATGGAAGAGAAAAAAAAATAATTTGCCAAAATAATAATACAAAGAAGATATGTGTCAAATAACTAGGGACAGATATTTGTCTATCAAGTCTTGCTTTAACTTCTTCTTGAAACTTGTTGAGTTCAATTTTCTATAAGCACAGGGAATCCCTATTCGTTAGCCAAGCAACGTAATAAGTAAAACATTCACGAAAGATGTTGCATTGTTTTATGCCGAACATTGATATTATGAACGTCCGTACGAAAAGTGATTTTATTATAAAGATGAGCAGGGCATTTGGTTAGCAAAATTTTCTGAAATAGAGTAGAAGAATGTGAAGCATCTATTTTTTGCGGATTTTCTTCGGAATAGTAGAACTTTGGATTTTGTTGGGTTGATCGATAGGCAATATTTATCAGATAGTGCCGGAGAGATTTTAAATCATCATTCAGGTTGTTACACGCATTGTTTAGATCATTTTCAGGAAAAGAAAAATAAATTTGAGCATCATCGTCAAAAATATGTACAGAACAGTAACGTAGAGCTTTGGTAAACTGTGAAGTGTGAACTACAAAAAGCAACGAACCTAAAATGAATGAAATCACGAATTGTGGGGTTGAAAACAGGCATTTGCACATTTGCGGGTGAGTGCTCAGACTAAATAACAATAGAAAGACACCGCGATTCATTCATTAAAAAGAATACGCCAATAATCCTAAACGCCAAACACGTATAAATGAATGTAATCGCGATTGGTGGGGATAATAACAAACACTTGTACATTTTCGGGTGACTAAATAACAATAGATAGACACCGCGATTTATTCATAAATCATTGAAAAGTATGCTCTAAGAATCCTAAACGCTAAACACGGATAACAGTGGACTAGCGAATGGTGGGGATAATAACAGGTTAATAATCATTAACTCTTGCTGCTTTAGATTTATATTATGAAATGAATTACTGAAACACCGAAAACTGATCACACAACATCTGGAATACCATTAAAAACAACAAAAACAATAAATTACATTTCTCACTACGGATATTGTTTATTTACAAGTGATTGATGATTATGATGCCTTCGTCAAAATTGGAAAATTCATGATGGCGGATCCAATATGGCGGACGAGTTCTGTAATTATGATCTGATTCTATTCAAAATTTGAATCTGGGGGTTCTTGGGGTCGGAGATTATGATTATTTCGTCAAAATTTGAAAATTCAATATGGCGGACCAATATGACGGACGAGTTTTGTAATACTGATCCGAATCTATTAAAAATTGGTATCTGGGAATTTTTGGGGTCGGAGATTATAATTTCTTAGTCAAAATTAGGAAATTAAAGATGGCGGATCCAATATGGCGGACGAGTTTTGTATTTATGATCAGATTTTATTCAAAATTTGTATCGGGGCGCTTTCAGGGCCGGAGATTATGTTTTTTCTTCAAAATTGAGAAATTCACGATGACGGATCCAATATGGCGAACGTGCTTTGTAATGTAATGGTAGTTTGAAAAACTATAATGAAACACGCTTTTCTAAATAGTCAAACTCGAGACCAAAACTAAAAAGAAGTAGAAAACAGATGGTAGGTATAGTTAAAAAAAACTAAAGAGATAGGTCTCAAACTGAGGAGTAGAACATAAATAGTTTTTTTGAAAAATAAAGAAACACGTTTTAATAGATAGTCAAACTAAAAAGCTAAATTATGTGTGTTGTAAATATTTAACTAAAAAAATATCTCATAAAAATAAATGTATATAGCAAAACTACTTTCGCCGGGTCAGCCATTGTAATAAATAGTAGTTTGAAAAACTAATGAAACACGCTTTTATAGATAGCCAAACTAAAAAGAAGCAGGAAATAAAATGATAAAAGTGTGTTGATGAATATTTGACTAAAAATATATTCTCTAGAATTAATCTGTATGGGCAAAACAACGTTTGCCGGGTCAGCTAGTATTTCTATAAAAATTTAGTAACCAAACCGACCCTTCCTAGGCTTTTGCCCATTATTATTAGTAGTATAGTGGGCAGGCTACAGCCAGGCAAGTAGGCCTTCATGGGCTCTTTTGCCAACCCCTGCTCTCCACATTTCTACACATCCTTCTTCTAAATGTCCTTTCCATTATCAGTATACAGGGTGGGCCACCAGTAACGCCTCAGTCTCTAGAAGGCTAACCACTCATCTTCTTGGAATTCTTCCTCTCTAGGAAGTTGCATGTCAACATAGGCTACCATTTAAAATTATTTCTAAACATACAGGGTGTCTCCAAAAACCATAAAACACTGAAGTTAAACTTTTTTCTATCGAACACCCTATATATTATTTCATTTCGAGATTCTCCCTGATGAGATGATTTCAACGACCCATCATACTTGGGGTCTAGCAGTTATAATTACTGAAATATAGGGTGTGAAAAATCGAGATTTTCCAAGTTCAAGAATTTTTTGTGTCGAAACTATTCATAATTGGTCAAAACGGCTTACATGTCCCTATCTCAACTTTTGATCAACTATCTACTGATATTTAATTGGGACATATACCGGATGATCAAGATTCTGAATTCTGCACCACCCTGTATTTGTTTCAATTAAATGTCAGTAGATAGTTGATCAAAAGTTGAGATAGGGACATGTGAGCCGTTTTGACCAATTATGAATGGTTTCGACACAAAAAATTCTTGAACTTGGAAAATCTCGATTTCTCACACCCTATATCTCAGTAATTATAACTGCTAGACCCCAAGTATGATGGGTCGTTGAAATCATCTCATCAGGGAGAATCTCGAAATGAAATAATATATAGGGTGTTCGATTGAAAAAAGTTCAACTTCAGTGTTTTGTGATTTTTGGGGACATCCTGAATGTTTCAAAATAATTTAAAATGGTAGCCTATGTTGACATGCAACTTCTCAGAGAGGAAGAATTCCAAGAAGATAAGTGGTTAGCCTTCTAGAGACCGAGGCGTTACTGGTGGCCCACCCTGTATAGGTTCCCTCAGAATATAATGAATCCTCTTTCAGGTCTGGCAATATACAATAATATTATATTGGCAGTTAATTTCCCGATGGTGTTGTACAGGAAGCTGATGGGCAGGAGAGGAAGTTTTGAGGATTTACAGGATTGGAATCCGGTAAGGACAATACTCGACTATTCACTTTTCATCTCTAGTTCATCCGGTATGGTTTTATTGCATATTATTTCCAGGTACTGTACAATAGTCTGAAACAAATGTTAGAATATAACCAAGCCGACCTTCAAGATGTGTTCATGCAAACATTTAGAATTAGTTACCAAGACGTCTTCGGATCCACCATTGATTATGATCTAAAAGAGAATGGTCTCGAGATCAATGTCACGCAAGAGAACAAATATGTAAGAATTTCATTGATTCTTATTTATAATATTATGAATTTTCCATTTTGGTTTCATTTTATAGGAATTCGTGGATCTCTATGCGGATTTTCTATTGAACAAGGCTGTCGAGAAACAATTTCACGCCTTCTACAAAGGGTTTCAAATGGTTGTCGATGAATCGCCTCTCGAATTACTATTCCGTCCAGAAGAAATTGAACTGTTGATATGTGGCAGTAAAGTAAGTTGAATCCACGTTCTTGGGTGAATGAACTTCGAAGGACCTTTTTTTTTTTTTCAAAGTGTATATACAGGGTGTATCTTAATAACACCGAAAACGTTCATCTCGAAAACGAAGCAAGTTAGGACACATGTTTATATGAACTTTATTACACAAAGTAATATTCACGACATTTAATGTGATTAACATTATATATGTCCATCATCAGCTTTAAATCAGAAATTATATAATCGTCATGGGGATGAAGAAGGTTGTCACCAACTTTTACATTATTAAAAATATAGTGAAGGGTTTCAAAATGTGGAAATTCGTTATGGGAAAACCTAACAAACCCCCGAAAAACTTTTTCATTTAAATTTATGGTGGGAATCAACAAATGGCTAAAATTTCACAAGGAATCCCTTGAATTTATTCGGTGTTATTTAGATACACCCTGTCATGTCGTATAGGTATCTATGACGACCTTTTCAGAATATGCCTACCCCTTGAGGATACTTAATCCATAGACCTAATTTATCTACTCGCTTGACTTTGAGAGGGTTGTCGTTTAATTGTGGAACATAAAGAAATAAAAAGAGTGTTTAAAAATGTAGAAGAAACATGTTTATTGAATAAGGTGATTAAAACTGTACCACAGAATACTCAACAATCAGGATAGCATCTTTCGCGCGGGAGTGGGTTCGCGCATTTGAACGGCGCAGGTTGTCGGCCATCTTCCTGGGTTACTTGTTTACAGTTTATCGAATTCTCAGCTGTGGAATGATCATGTGAAATATTCAAATATTCAAGGGTGTTTGGGTTGTACTGTTCGAATAAGTTTTGATGCCTACCTAATTAAGTTGTGAAAGAGAAGCCAATAATAGATTCCTTATCTGTTTCATCTGTAATTGTAGACATGAGTGCTAAAAGAACTCAGAGATGGTCTTGTGTGTGCTGCTACAGATTGCAAAAATAATTCTATGGCTAAGTTTTATTCCTCATCTCATCAGAGTCAGTTGAATGAATATTCCTTGTAAACCTATTGACCAAACAGAACTGTAATTGAGAAAAAAAAATTATTTCGTTTTTCCAACAAAACAACTTCAAGAAATAATGAAATGAAAACCTGGTCAAATCTATCAATTTCAATTTTCAGCAATGTTTGCGTTCAAACCTGTCTTATACTAAAAATGAAAGTTAGCTTCTGTAAACTAGTTTTCATTGAATTAAGTGTCTGTGATTTTGTAATAATTGAATACATTTTATTGAAGAGGGATATTCCCAGATATACCTAATCATGAACATAAAAAAACGAAAAAACGGCCCTGCTTGCTAACCCAAGAACATGGCGGATCCCAGAAAATAGATCCTAAAATATCAAAGGCGCCGACCAGAGAAGCACTTCTTTCTCTACGCCCGCCGTAGACTGGCTTTTCAGTTTTCATAATCGAACTACTCCAACCAATATTTCCCTCTCTGATTGTATATTGATTTCTATACCTCAGCAGTTTTAGAATCAATGTATTTTCGGTTTGATCTGAGTTCATACAGGTTATGGAAATATTAGTTGCAATAGGAAACTTCAATTCCTGTGTAGGTATGAATGTCATGCATTGGATTTGAAATGAATGTTTTTTATTGAAAATCATTATGTTTCGGATAGATTAAAATTTGATTAGGATCTACTACATGACAATATCATTCATTCCAGAACTTCGACTTCGACGAACTGGAAAACTCCACCGAATACGACGGCGGCTACGCCATAGATTCGCAAATCATCAAGGACTTTTGGTCGATCGTGCACGCGCTCTCGCTGGAGGACAAACGGAAGCTGCTACAGTTCACCACCGGGTCAGACAGGGTGCCGGTGGGGGGGCTCAGTCGCTTGAAGCTCGTGATAGCCAAGAACGGCCCGGATTCTGACAGGTATATTCGATTGGATTTTGTTTTTCATGTTCTGGTTCCCACGAACAGGGATATTCTGTAATGTTCAGATAACATCTCGTGAGAACCAAGGGAAATAAGGTAGGAATTAGTGCTCTTCTTAAATTTCTGGAGGTTATATGCCTCGGGGAACACCTCCCTTGGCAATGTGTCCGAGAAATGAATAATACCACTGGAATGCATTTTCACCGCGCTATTCAATGAGGTATCACAAGTAGGGGCTACTATTATCTCATTTTGTACACGAGTTACATCAATTCTAAGCTTCCAAACCAGACATTGTATCAGAGGAAATTGTATGAATCCTCATTTTGATGCAAATCCATAGTAGTAGAGCAGTTGGAGAAATTGGGGTGGAAATAATTTCTACAAAAACGCAGTTTTCATTTTCTGAAGCCTCATTCGACCCCTTAAACTATATTAAAAATATAGATGCATTCTTTCATGCAAAAATGTTTTAATGCAACTTTTCATATTCCAGGTGTCCAAACCTAGATGATTGTTTCACAACTCAACACATCATGTTTCGCTACCTATGTTAGGATATTCAGGATAAGATTCAAACGAATTTCTTAATCTTCCTAAAAATGATAATATGGTTAGCAGATCTCAAAATTCGTGTCGAGGTGTGAAACAATCATTTTGGTATGTGATTGAAACTATTTTCTGTGATCGTGAATGAAATGTTCCATTATTTGATATACTATTCCAGGTATACCTAAATATAGTGAATTGAAAGCAGTGATGGAAGATAACAAATGTTTATCATTTTCGTTAAGTACTGATGATAGTTCGAATTGTGTTAAATTGACTGCCAAAGGTGTCCAAGGAGTTATAAGTGCTAGCAAGTAGCAGTAAGACAAAATAATCGAACTCTTGGAACCAGTGCCTATTCATCCTCTAATTGTTCACGTCGAATGTCGTCGATTGTACGTAAATTCAAACAAGATGAAGAATAATCTCAGGTTTAAATCAGATCCTGATAGAGAAGCATCAACTAGTAGCAGCAGCAACAGAGCTTTGTGATCTGAGCTGCCGACATTCGCATTCAAAGATAATTGCTTGTTTTGTGGCCAAGGAAACTGAGAAAATAATTAAATCTGCAATTTTACCAGTACGAACTTTCGCGTTTTGACAAACTATTATTGATGTTTGTGATGCAAGAATCGATTTTTGATCATGAAATGTCCGTGCACGTCTTCTTTCTGTTATCGATACTTGCCAGCAGCAGATGCTCTGTATAATCAGAAATTTAGTGTGAATTTTGGAAAAGGAGACTCTATTCCTAAAAAGCATCAACATAATATTCCCAATGAACAGACAAAGTTAGCAGGACGTCCTCCTGATAAAAATAAAGAAGATGCCTTTCTAGAAATATGCTGGTGGCTCATGAAAAATGATGAACCAATTTCAGTTCAGGAGTTGCTGGACAAAATGGCAGAGCTGCTGCCAGAAAATATCGAACCTCACACTGTTCGTCGTATGCATAAAAAATTAGAAGAATATTTCTCGGATGACATTATGATATTGAGACAAAAAGGTAGAGCTAATATAATCGTAACAGGGAAAACAGTTGCCAATATAATTTGTGATTATCAGCGACAAAAGTGTTCAGGAGATACAGATGCTGAAAAATATCGTATAGTTGAAGCAACAGCTGAACTGATTAAGAATTTAATCAAGTTGATGGGAACATCCTTAGAGTTTCATCCTTCACCAGAAGAAATAAGTTCCGAGCAGGGAAATAATAAGCTTTTAACCGACATTTTGAAAACATTCTTGGATAAAATATTCAACAAAAAATCCTCAGGTTTGAAGATAAATTCAATTGAACAGGCACTAATGCAAGTTGCAAGGCCACGATCTATCATAAGATCAATTCGTCTAGGTAGGAATTTCGATCTCGGTTACTTGTCGATGAACTTCATAAACTTGGGTTTTCATCATATGATGACGTACGGAAGTACTTGCAAAACTGAAGTAGATGAACCTTGTGGAACCAGATGTAAATGTCGACGATACGGAATTTTTTGCACTGTATTGTGCAATAATTGTTCGGGAAGGTACCAATATTCCAATCGAGGAAGTTGAAGATAATGAATGAACTTCTGTTACATGCCAAATATGCCATTTTTATTAGGTTTATGATTTATACGTATTAACGAATGAACGAATATTGGAAACACTGTATTTTCATTTTGCACGAAGGTATCATTCTATATTTCCTCATATGTGTTATTCTATGCCTTCTGAACTGAGGAAAGCAAAAAAAAAATTGTGGGAATTATTTCCACCTGAGACCATTTTTTATCGCATATCTACTACACTATAGTGTGTCAAATAATTGGTCGATTCTAGCCGTTTGGTTTCATGTTTTCAGTGATCGAGTAAAAATCAAAATTCTGATATTTTCAATATTCGTCTAATCCCATGAATATTACATTGTCATGATGAAATGCAATACCCTGTATGTGATATTATTATCTATTCCAATAGAGGGGTTCATGAGGTAGAAATTAGACGTTGAGCGTTTATTTCTACTGAAGATTTATCACGACTTAGGCTGGTAATCTAGCTGTGGGTACCCAGAGGGGCGGGGGAGTCGCTCATACGTGAATGCAGTGTTTCCGGTTTATGGAGGAAAAAATGAAATTTTGAAAAAACAAAAGACCTCCTTCTAGTTTGGCTCGGACAGATGGACATCCAAGTTTCCGCGTTTAGAACGGCTAGTGCCTCACAACTCAGGATTGTCCTAATTTTGGAGAGTATGAAAGCCATATTCTGGATTTTTTTGCTCAAGATGAACAATGGGGAACACAACAATAATGATTCATGTGTTCATTAGTATATAACGTAATATGTGTTGTAAGAAGCATATTACGAACGTATGGAGTGCGTAATTGCTTCACAACACGCATTACGTACTATACTTTACCTACTGCCACATAGTACATCAAAAAAGTTTGGACAATCAGTCTGAATTATAATTCTTGACAGTTATGTCATCCGCTGTTGACGGCGATTACGCGATGATGACCGAATAAACTAAAACTGTGCGATGTGCTTTCTGTTCCTAAAGATTTACTTACTGAGGCTGTATCTATATATATATATATATGCCTTTATTCATTCCAAGAAGATTACAGTGAATCTTATATTAGGAACTAGGGCTATCTATATTTACAATTATAAAAGTAAAGATAAAAGTATGTATATAGGTAGAAGGTAGAAAGCACCATACAAAAACATAATACATAAATCAATGTGGAAAAGCATAATAACATCATAGACACAATTCACACTCATCTGATACAGCCTATGAGCAAAAGAAACATAAAAAGGACATTATATTTGTTTACATAATACATGTTATACTAGATGAAAGAAAAAAGGAACCAAGCGCGCAAAGGAGAATTTTCATCCGGATGAGCATATATTTCAAGCAAGTAAATACTGTTTTAGTTTGGTTTTGAACATGTGATCAGATACATGCGTGTTTCTAATACTGACGGGTACATTATTATAGATTTTCAGGCCTTCATGAAAGAGAGACTTCTGGCCATACTTGGAAAGAACAACTGGTAAATAAAGATTTTGGTTTTGTCTTGTACCATACTGATGTATATCAGATAATAATAATAATAATAATAATAATAATTTTTATTTTCTGTTAAATGTATAACATGAAACAGTAAAGTACGTCAAAAAAAAAGAAAAAATATAACAAACAAACAATGCGACAGCATCACAATTAAATACAATATATTCATCACATTACTAACATTACATAGAATTACATAAAATACTCATCCAGCGTATAGCAGGCCTTTTGAATTAGCTGTTGTTTAAGCCTCTTTTTAAATATATTCAAGTTTTTGGAGCTCTTAAGTTTTTCATCAAGAGAGTTATATAGTTTACAACCAGTATAATGAAAACTTTTCTGGTACAACGTAGTCCGGTGTCTCTCAGGTTGGAGGTGGCTTTTAAAGCGTGTATTATGATCGTGCTTCTCAACAGTATTCAAAAACATGTTTTTATTTTTATAAACGTATAAACAAACTTCTAGTATGTATAAACTAACTACGGTTAGGATGTTGGCAGTTCTGAAATATGCTCTGCAACTTGTTCGTATGTTTGATACAGTTATCAAATGCGTTACGGAGTGCTTTCTGCGAGTTTTGATATAATGGATATATAGTGCTATTTCATATTTATAAATATTTTCTAATGAAAGATATCCTCTGGGGGAATACAATTGAGTAGTGGGATACCTGAATGGCAGAAAATGAATATTCTTTATTGCTTTATTCTGTAAGACTTTCAGAGGATTAATTGCTGACTCATGAGCTGTTCCCCATACTGAGATAAGGTACTGCAGGTGACTATATATATGTGAATAATATAGCTGTTTTCTGATCGTTAATGAAATCATCTTGGAAATTTTATACAGAACTCCAATGAATGGTGATATTTTTTTCTTAACATGGGTTATATGTTTTTTCCATGAGAGCACTTCATCAATGTATAGTCCTAGGTATTTGGTTGATTTTGAGTATGTTAGCTGGCTACCACCAAAATGAATAGGGGATCCAATTTCACTTTTGGATGTTTTGGAAATGAACACATACGAAGACTTGTCAATATTGAGGGTTAGTTTGTGAGAATTCAGCCAATTTTGTATGTGTAGTAAGTCATCTGCTATTGATCTTCTTATGGATGTAACATCCTTACCGACGTATACTAAGGTTGTGTCGTCTGCATACAATTTCAAGTCACCGATCAGGGGTTGCAAAGATAATTCGTTAATATATATTAAAAAAAGTGTGGGTCCCAGAATCGAGCCTTGTGGCACACCACATTTTATATCTTTCAGGTCACTTCTAATGCCATTGGTACTGGTCAACTGTTTTCGGCCACTCAGATATCCGACGAACCAATCATTAGCTAGCCCTCTTATTCCTATATTACCGAGCTTACGTATCAATATATCATGATCTACGGTGTCAAATGCCTTTCGCAGGTCAAGCGAAACCAACGAGCAAATTTCTCCCTTATCAACTTCATCTCGTGTGTTCTTGCCCACTTTCAATAGTGGTCGTAGGTAAACGTTTATAAAAGTTATCTCAAACAAAATTATAGACGATTAAAACACAACTACTTCTCATACAAAACACATGCAAACTGATCTAAACAAAGCAATGAATGGCCCATACGTTAGTTATATCAGAAAACGGCAGAGAGCGTTCCTAAGCAAGATGCGCCTATTTCAATCAACGCCATAACAAAGAAGTTATGCTGCCATATAGCAAACGACAGTTTGAGAGTTCTTGCGCATTAAGCAGAAGCGTTTTCAGGCGAGCAATATGGCTTTGATATGACTGACGTTGAAGCTTCAATGTAACTGATGGAAATAATCTCATTTTGTTGAAGGTTACCCACTGCTCACACCTGCTTCAACGTGTTACTACTCCCTGAATACTCCTCCAAAGAAAAACTCAAGGACAGACTGGTGAAAGCGATAAATTACTCGAAAGGATTCGGGATGCTCTAGATTCTAGAGGATGGTCGTCGCGCTTTGTGAATAGGTAGTGTATATTCTCAATCAATGAACTAACAAATTGTGAGATTGGTTTTAATAATCATCGTGTACAGCTCTATTATTTTTTTCTGTTGATTATTGAGTATTGATTTAGGTGGCTCTTTTGTATACCGGTCTTTTTTAGTTGATGTACATCTCGAAAAAGGCTGAAATATTAAAAAAATGTGGATACAATTTAATTTTTTTACTGCAGTTCAATTTGAATCATCTTAAGCTGGCTTAGAATCTTCCAAATGTCCCAATATACATATAAATATTTGAAAAAAAAACATGTTTTCTACTCTCAACTAAAATGGCATAAAGCATAGGGATACATACCACGCTAAATGATCGATTACCATGGCGACACAATTTCTTAAACGCATTACCATGGCAAAAGCAACGATTACGTAAGATACAGGGGTGTTTCCATTAGAAGTGAGACAGACTGTATGTCTGGAATAAATGCTTGAAACTCTTGTGAGGGTGGCTTTGTATCAAATTGAATCCTTGTGAGCAATAGCGACCATGCTACAATAGAGCAGTTCAGCTACCGTTGAGAGAGAAAAAAAATGTCTTCCCATCTGTCCTTGTCTTCAGTGTTCCAACATGAAATAATGAAAATCTTATGTTGCCAACACTGGAAATGAGAAGAAACGGAGAAGAAGACCGTTCTAACCTTCTTTTATATCGAGGTTAATATGATCTTCTTCTCCATTTTTTCCCATTTCCAATGATGCCAACATAATATTTTCATTATTTTATGTTGGAACACTGAAGACAAGGACAGATGGGGAAGACATTTTTTTTTTCTCTCAACGGTAGCTGAACTGCTCTATTCCAAACAAAACATGTTCAAAGGGATGAAGGGGAAAGTTTTATGAAAAAATAGTTTTATGGTACTGTTGCCCTATATTTTGAGCTATTGAACTGGGGTTCTATGGAAAGCGTATTGTTGTCTTCCTCTGAATCTTTGAGGAAATGAAAATTGGACCGAAAATGCTGAAGTGAAGGGGTGTATTTTCTCGATGCAACAATTAATTTATAGAACCGATTATATCTGAAGTGAGCAATGTGTTCTTTGAATCTTTTGCCTACACTTCAAAGTATATGCCCAACATATGCTGACGTGGTATTCCAACACTTCGTGCAAAAAACTCGTCATTTAGTAAAACGGTGCATTATTGTCCACCATTTCATCACTGAAAATGTAAAAAAATGTAGCCATATTCACTCAAAATTACAAAAATGTACTTTCACTACTGATATCCCACATAGGGCGTTAGAAGAGAAGAGATTGAATGAAAAGTCAGAGAATCTTACAACTTTTATAATTTATATATAAATATGATTTTGTAGACAATAAAAAATAGCAAATTACAACCAGAAAATAAATGCAACAGACATAGGGTTTAATTATTAAATACTGATAATTTTGCACTTATCATGTGATGGGTTTCTTCTCGAATTTGTTTTCTTAAATGTGTTCATTCAAAAAACATGAATTTCATAATGATACTATGATACAACATCTGATACAACTTCCTTTTCTGCCCCTCTTCTTAAATCATTGAACCCTTTATATACTCACGATGTACTTCAATGACTCATTTTATACCGGGTGACACAGGAGACATGCAGCAGCCTGTATTTTGTTATTTGAAGAGATAAAATTTTGAAATTCAGAGGGGGTATATAATAAATGGTAGCGCACTTTACGAATTTAACAACAATTTCTTTCAACCACCTGTTTGACCGGAAGTGACCCCAACTTTTTTTTTAAATGCCATCCTGTACGTTTCTCCAGTCTATCATTTTCGCCTTGAAATTCTCTATCCAACCATGTATCACAAAGTGGCATGTATTTCTTAATTCACTGTTGGATTGCTTGTTATCCAAAAAGAATAAGTTGGCTGTGACATGAATTCGACACTTGGTAGGTTTTGAAATTTAAAGATCATTAGTAAACCGATATTATTCAAAATGTTTTGATGTTCTGATCAATGTCTGCAGGTTGTCAATAACTTGTTCGAAAATAACTCATGATATTGAGGAATCTAAGATAGGAACATATTATTTCGAATTCAGCTACTCGTACAAAAACTATCTGTCTTTTATTTTCGCCATGTACCTATCACATGATCTTTCCATTTGGAATAATAAAACTAACATTGTTCCTCTTATACGATGATCCACAGGGCTATCAGTCCATTTTTTCATCATTATTTCACTTAGTAGGCGGTGTACCTACACAAAATGTTTTATGTGTTTGACAGTTGATCAATTGCATCAATAATTTTTCTTCTTCATTTGTGTGTTGATTAAAACTGCATATTAACAACATATCGACTTTTTCGTTTCTTGAATACATTTTCCGTCTCTATTGATATCATCGAATTCATGTCACAGCCAACTTATTCTTTTTGAATAAAAAGCAATTCAACAGCGGATTAAGAAATAAATGCCACTTTGTGATACATGGTTGGATAGAGAATTTCAGGGCGAAAAAGATAGACTGAAGAAATGTACAGGGTGACATTTGAAAAAAAATTGGGGTCACTTTCGGTCAAACAAGTGGTTGAAAAAAATTGTCGTCAAGTTCGTAAAGTGCGCTACCATTTAATATATACCCCCTGTGAATTTCAAAATCTCATCTCTTCAAATAAAAAAACTACAGGCTGCTACATGTCTCCTAATTATTGAATAACTGTCAGCTGGTGTGATTATTCACTAAATATTTTAGAACAATATAAAAAAACTGAAAAAAATTACAATCGTATATTTCCTAATAAAGGAAACCATCACATGGTAATTGCAAAATAATCTGGTAATTTGATCTACTAGATGGAAGTTGTTCACATCAAATTCCGCAAAGTACCAAACCGATTTTTTTAACGCCTCGACACGTGTTTCGCTAACTATGTTAGCATCTTCAGAAGAAGACTAAAACTAAATATTCCATTCTAGTATACTAGGTATATGTTCACCCAACCATGAAAAATACTAACCTTCAAGGTAATGTTTGTCATGGTTGAGTTCACATGTTAATCCCAATTTAATTATAAGATTGATATTAACATGTGAATGAACATTAGCTTGACGGTTAGTATTTTTCACGGTTGCGTGAACATACACCTAGTATATAAGCAACACACTAGAATAGGATATTTAGTTTTAATCTTCTCCTGGAAATGCTAACATAACGAGACACGTGTCCAGGCGTTGAAAAAATCGGTTTGGTTAGTGGTAAAACAGTGTAGTGTATCATCAATGCCAAAGGTTCCAGTCTTCGATATACAGGGTGTTTCATAATTGAATGTCAATATTCGAGAAGGCGATTCTTGGGCCCATTCTAAGAACGTATTATTAACGTATGACCTAAACGTCCTAACTTTTGAAATACAGGGTGGTAAAGTTCTCAAAAATTAATATAGCCTACTACAATCAAGTTATAATTCCAAAATACCAAATACGAATACGAAGTTCATAAACTATGAATTGTATTTCTGAAATGTTATCTAAAAAATGAAATCTCTTTCTCTACTTTGTGATGTCATGTTAACAATATTGCCATTATCATGTAGTAAACATTTTATTTTTTAGGCGAAAACCGTGCATCAGATTGAAAAAATTGTGGTGATCAAATTTGCTTAGAAATGATTGGGAATTTCAGGGATGATTTCAATTTCGAGATGAATCAGTGGCGTACTATCAATGTCTGCCAAAATAGGTATATGAAATTCCATACGAACGCCACTGGTGGCAACCAAACAAAATGTAGTACACTAACTGATGCCTCTTGATACATAGTACATGTATGCCAAATTTCATTGAAAATTCTGAAGTGGTATTACAGATATTGATATAAAACTATTAATTTTTGAGAACTTCAACACCCTGTATCTCAAAAGTTAGAACGTTTAGGTCATACGTTCATATGAAACTTTCTTCTTAGAATGGGTCCAAGAATCGCCTCCCCAAATATTGACATCCAATTATGAAACACCCTGTATATTCCTTGTTGATTTTCGAAAAAAATCAAACCATCACATGGTAAGTGCAAAATAACCTGAATATTAGATCTACTAGATAAAAGTTGATTCACATCAAAATTCCGCAAAGCACCTCGACGATATCTCTTCCGCAACCGGAAATCATACTCTTTCTTGCTCGCCCTCCTTTCGATCACTACCCTTACATGACAGACGTCCCTGCTTCTGCCCTTCGACGCTATCTGCTCAAGTTCACCAACGAGTACCATTCGCTCGTCTCCTCCGACAAATCGAGCGGGCCGAGATCCAGCTCGACACCGCCCATGTACTCGTTCTCTTGCAGCGCGTCGTAGCTCCACACTGTCGCTTGCAGCTTGCGGACCTTTATCACGTCCAGCTGCATGCGGTACTCCAACTGGAAATCGAAGGACAGTTGAAGGTGTTGTATTGTTATGAGTTGTTAGCATCTAGCAACTAGATGCGCTACTGCTCAGTGGAATGTGCTTAGATCAGAGCCAATGGCAGACGTGTGTGAAGACTGGCTCATGCAGTGTTCGGCAGGCAGCCGAGTTAAGAGCAAGTGTAACCCTTGTCCATGTCATTTGTGTTCGTGTTTATTGAATTATGGCCATAATATAACATCAGAAGTGGTTGAACTCATGCCCCGGTGAAGTGACAAAATGCAATTATTTTTCCGGCGATTTTCACTGCGAAACAGATAGCCGTGGTTGAGGTATTTAGGTATTTATGCGTGATGCATTCCCGGCGTTATGTGATGTTTTATTGAACTGTAAGTACATGAGTACATGACTTCTTTAAAATAAGCAATACCAATGAACCAACAGTACGAAGGTCCAGTAACAGAGAATTTCGTGTTCGATCCTGAAATCCAGTATTTTTTGCTACTTGTTTGTTTCGAAAACGCTGATAACGTTGACATTCCGATCAAATATCAGATGATAATATGAATTATTGGTATTGGAATGTACTGAACGTTTGTTGTTCCCATTTTCGATTGTATTGGCGATTACACGATATTTATTTTGGAATTTCGTTCGATGAATTTGCAATTTCAGTTTGTGATGATGGTTATGATGATGTATGTAACATAATTTTTGAATGAATATCTCTGGATATTCGAGAATGCAGGTAATGTTCGTTAATCATGATCCATTCGTGCCCGAGTTGTGTTCCATTTCAACAAAAGGTGAACAGTAGATTGGATATTGTGAGATTTGAAGAAGTTTGGATTAGATTTGTAATGATCCTCAGTTTGCAATATTTCCGTGAGATTTGCATGATTCATAAACAAATTAAAGATTTCTGGTGATTTTCAATAAACATGAGACTGTCAAAGATTTTCAAGGTTCATCAAAATTGCACGGATAGATGGGACAAATCTGAAATTAGCTCGAGGGACGGTGACATTTTTAGAATTTATATGATTCATTTTTATACAGAGTGGGCCTTTGAAAACGAAACAGAGGCTCTGTAGGTCGCCAAAACCGGATTATCAAAAAAAACTGAAACAGGTCAACTACATTTTCGAGGGGGACATATTTCTAAAATATTTTCAGCCCTGCGGCGTTGCCGCTTCTAACGAAAAGAAGCAACAACTTTGTTATTTCAAATGGAACACCTTGTATTTTATTGCATTTTTAGGTTCTCCCCGAATAGCTGATTTCATCAATGCATCACACTTGGGGTCTAGCTATAATGGTTTCATGGATATAAAGTGTTCAAAATCGAGATTTTTCAACTTTAACATTTTTTTGTGTCGAAACTATTCATTATTGGTCAAAACGGCTCTCATGTCGCTATCTCAACTTGTGATTTACTATCTACTGACATTTATTTGAAACAAATACAGGGTGGTTCAAGATTCAAAATTCTGATCACCCTGTATCTGTTCCAATTGAATGTTAGTAGATAGTGAATCACAAGTTGAGATAGGGACATGGGAGTCGTTTTGACCAATAATGAATAGTTTCGACACAAAAAAAATGTTAAAGTTGAAAAATCTCGATTTTGAACACTTTATATCCCTGAAACCATTACAGCTAGACCCCAAGTGTGATGCATTGATGAAATCAGCTCTTCGGGGAGAATCTAAAAATGCATTAAAATACAAGGTGTTCCATTTGAAATAACAAAGTTGTTGCTTCTTTTCGTTAGCAGCGGCAACACCGCAGGGCTGAAAATATTGTAGTACGATGTCCCCCTCGAAAATGTAGTTGACGTGTTTCAGATTTTTTTCATAATCCGGTTTTGGCGACCTACAGAGCCTCTGTTTCGTTTTCAAAAGCCCACTCTGTATACAGGGTGGCTGGAATTCGAGTTTCATCATTGGGATCTCGTAAACCGTAAGAGATACAGGGTCGGTTAAATTATGGCAAAGTTGCGCAATTTGATGCATAACAGAATGCCGTTCTGAAACTCGGAAAATTCCGAATACTTTCGGAGATACCCGGAAAAAATCCAAATTTCATGTACCCGTTCCAATTTTTTCTGGCGTTATTTGAAAAGATCAATCGATATGATATAATCATGACCACTTTTTCTTCCCTACATGATAGGCGTTTTCAAATTTGAAATCCGACGTTTCGTCTTCCAGAAACCATCATCAACTTATTTTTTTGTAGGGAACTTCACCACTCCACTTTGAGTTACCATGGACATCTTCCAAATACTATTTTTTTTTAAATACGGACCTGGATCTTTCATTTCATTTTTAGTTACCCTTAGATATCCCAAAAACTATGAGCTATCACAAATATCGATTTTCAAATGTTTCTATGACAAAAATTTGATAGTTTTTCTATTTTCTCAGAATATTTATTCCGAAACTATTTTTGAAACATTATTATTCATTAGTAATATGAATAAGAAACGCTTATCAGCACATGAACATTGGAAAGATTTCAATGAAACCACTCACGCCTCCACTGGAATAATTATTACGAAACTGAACTTCTGGCAGTCTTCGGGCTATCCAAAATCAACAGAGAATGAAATAAAAAATCTAGGTCCGTATTTAAAAAAAAATTAGTTGTTAATGGTTTCTGGAAGACGAAACGTCAGATTTCAAATTTGAGAACGCTCTCATGTAGGGAAGATGCGAGGATCCTTTATCTAAGCGAAAAACATATTCTTGTCCTTGTCTGGCAAAATATATGATTTGCTTCAAAATCGTTAAAATAAAAAAAACGTCAAAACAGCAGTGTCAAGAACATTTAGGAACTCTAGGTAAATCGAGGAGGTGTTACATCCATTTTACTTGATTATTTGGGATTTTCTCTCCTCATTTCCACAAAAGAAAAATATGAGTATCATTCCAATATATGTATAGTAGGACAAATCAGATCATTTGCCCCAAAATGTCACTGCGTTTAGCAATTTTTTTTCATCAGGGAGCCTAAAAGAAAAATCCTAAAATATATCATAGATAGGAACTAGGTACTTATCTACTTCAAATTCAAGATAGTTGGATCAATTCGCTCCATACCTGCTTACAATGATCAATTATTTCTTGTTCGTCAATAATATAAGATCTTTTTTCTACTCACATGACTAATATGGCATTTATCGTACGAATTAGTACCACGCTAAATGATCGATTAATCACGGATTGACGATCTGTGATTTATTAAAAAAATATTAATGGCAACGCAGTTCATTAAACACAGCTTCATTAATTTGAGACATTTCTGGCCTGTCAATTGTATATTAACTGTCAATTGTTATTTTCGAATTTTGTATCAGAATTATTCAAACAACGTTTGTATCAGAATTCTCCATTAACAATATATGCGAAATATGTAGACGAAAGTGAAATCGAAAAATGTTCTGGTACTTGCATATCTCCAAGAAGTGTAAAAATGAAGCATCCATCTTTGAGAACAATTCATTTATTTTGCGCTTAGCATGACAATAAACGTGAAACAAAGGTTAGTAAGCAATGGACTGGATACATCTACAACCGATATCACTCATACGTGTCTCGCTGGTTGCACGCAGTTGCATGTATTATGTTCTCAATTCCCATTCCTTTCGAATTATTTTGTAGGTTCGCAGGAATAGCAGGTATGTTAATGTAATTTTCGGAGTTCGTAGAAAAAGCACTTGTTACATAATATACTATTATTGAAAATACTTCCTATGAATCCATTTCAATTATCTCATTAAAAAGTGTGGTTATTTTTTCTTATCGATTATAACCTCAGATAACAACAACAACAACAAGAGCCCAATCCACTACCCAATCAAAATCCAAAACTACTCCGCGAACTACCTCTGTGAGCTGGTTTATGTGGCAGGTTAAATATTACCTCATAGTTGGGAATAAACTTCGAGGAAAATTGACTGGTTACCTTATTGTTGACCTGGTTTGTGTTTCGAGGAAAAATAGCTAAGGTTTTGATCCAACGCCAAACAGTTCCATCATGTCGAATAACGTGCAATAACGTACAACTCACCATTTCCATGAAACTCGGATGACAGTTCTTCCTCACCACCTTCGTTTTCCTCTTCGTCGCTTTGGGCGCGTCAGGATGCAGATAGACTTTGACGTAGGTGGACGGTTCCTGGCCGTTCGACAGCCTGGGCAGCCCTCTGGCATGCTGCACCATGACGGTGAAGACGCCCTTTCTGTATTGCAGCGACAGCTTCAACTGGCCTTTGAGGCGTCCCGCCTCGTACTGATCGTCACTACTTCGGTCTGGAAAGGAAAAAAGAAAAATGATTCGATACCTAAGAGGCGTCCACAACCTCACTTAATTGTGTCGTTTTATTGGCAACTTTTCCGATTCCGGTTGCTACTTTTTATTCCATCTCACTACAAGGAATGACGTGGAATGACTGTTGCCCGTTGTCAACAAATAAAATTGAATTGACAAACGACAAGCGAAACTTTTTGAAATAAAAAGATATTTTTATCGTGAGATTCACAAGTTTATGATTCTTTCAAGTAAGACAGGGTGTTTCCTAACTACGGTTCCTAACTGCAGGGAGTGATTTGTTAGGTCATTTTAAGAAGAAAAGTTCCTATGAACATATGTCCGGAGCTGCTTCGTTTCTGAGATACAGGGCGTTGAAGTTAAAGAAAAAAAACGGTAATTATAAAATACCATGAATATCCTGGAACCGATTTGGTTTCAATTTGGTACTATCATTCATCAAATTCTCTAAAATTTCTGCATATCAAGTGTCAATTATATTTTGGCAGAGATAATGAAGAACTCATTTCTCCAATGCAGGTGTTCATGATATGCAACACAGTGGAATTAATTTTTTTTGTTCGAAAACGAAGCTGGATATGAAGAAAATACAGGAGAATAAAAAGTTGTATTCTGAGTTGCTCAATCTAAAAAAATTAAAATTCACCAAAAAAATCAGTGGCTTATTTTTTTTTACAATATTGTTGGCCCTGGTGCCCACTGAGACGCTACTGGCCCTAATAATTCTAATATGAATAGGGCTAAATAAGCGCCTTATTAGTTCAAATGAAAGTACTGAATTTCAACCGAATCGGTTCAAGGATATTCATGATATTTTGTAATTACCGTTTTTTTTTCTTCAATTTCATCGCCCTGTATCTCAGAAATAAAGCAACTCCGGACATATGTTAATAGGAACTTTTCTTCCTAAAATGACCTAACGAATCACCACCTGCAGTTAGGAACCGTAGTTAGGAAACACCCTGTATATTCATTGTCACATAAAATTAATTCTCTTGATCTAGAAGAACTTTCTTCAATCATCACAATCACTGCTCTAAATATGCGTCGATTCATTTTCTTGATTTTTCACTCTAGTATCATGATTTTGAAACTATTCGGATACCCAATATATTATTATAACCTCTTTTATCTATAATATGTCTTAAATATGTCAAATCTCTCTGAAGTTTCTAGTTTTATTTGTAAACGTCATTTTGTTCCCACCACCGTCACCAATGTTATTCTCAAGAAAAAAAACCGTGAACGTGAGTTTTTACGGCTTTTCTCAGTTGCCTTGGTTTTGTCGTGTGTCCTTCCTCCTAAAGTGTAAATATGAATCTTACTATACAAGGTGTTTTTGAAATAAGTGCAAATATTCAGCACATCAATATGATACAGTCTAAGGAATATTCCCATGATATCAGATTTTTTCTAATTCATCTAATTAACGAGAAATTTTATTCCAAAAACTGAACAGAATACGAGAAAAAAATTAAGAATGCCACTTTAAAACAATTTAAATGATTGAACTCCGCGTGATGTGCCTACTGCATGAAAATTTGAACAGTGGTGACGTCAGATTTGCTACAGTGTAGAACATTGGGTATAAAAAAGGGTCTAACCTCAAATTTTATTTCGATCCCTAAATTTTTTTTATTAGTGCCATTCGATAGTACATGTCGAGCTATCTCAGTGTTTGAAATATTTACACTTATTTCAATGCCACTAGTGTGAGCACCACATGAGTTTCAGACTGGTCCATCGGATATTATCTTTCGACGAGGGCGAAATATTCACGGAAATATTATCGCTCTGCCACTATCTTAGATCGTTATCAGATGAGGGAAGTATGTAGGGAATAATCGGAGCAAATAAATCGCTTTGTCATAATGGCATAATTCTCAGCTCGGAAATAGAGTGCAAATTTCCGCACAGGAAAGTACCATTTTTAATCATTTCGCTCAGGATAGTGATTGGCACAGGTACCGTTCGATGAACTACGATGTTTTTACTTTCCTTTGGGAATATATCACTTCGATATCAGATGACGATAAACATCTGCAGCTGGCTCTCCTTCTATTATTAATATAAAACGGTCATGAAACAATGTCGACCATCTAACATATTCAATAAACAGTACTAAAGCTTCATTTTTGGTGGATATTCACTATGTTGATCATGGAGGTGAGTACATCTCATCAGTCTCCATATTCTTTCTTTTTTTCTTCACAAAGTTTCGAATAATAATGTTTTATGTCGAAAACAGGAACGACAATATCTCAACTAAGCATGATAACCTTACCTTTTACTTTTTTGGAATACTCTTCGGAATACTGTTGGTCTCTCAATAGAGGATGGAAAAACGTATAAACTAGATCGGAATGTGCTATTTCATGTGCGCAGAGGAAGAGGGACTTTACAAAAAGACTGATTTCGTTGAACCTCTTCTGAGCGACTTGTTTGATGTTGGATCGTCCCATGTGAAGTCCAGTGGAAAGACTGAAATAAAAAACAATGGAAATACACCAATTCAGAACTCTTCTCTCTTTATCTTTTATGCCTAAGTTCTCAGAAATACGAAAAAAAGAAGAAGAAGACAAACTACATTGTCAACCTAGCTTCCTGACGGTAATAGGTTATGTCGGCTGTCACCTTCATCGTCAAATACTTGTTTCATCTAGTCAAGATGCGAATATTCAAAGAAAATCCTAAATTCCTCATATTATCTGATTCTTTAGTTGTGTGTTGGGTTCTCTGTTATCTGCAGTAAGTATTCAATCCAGAAAATTCATTCCATATCCTGATGGAAATTACAATCAGAAATAGTCTTGCACTTGTCTATCAGACAGTGAATTGATACGTTAGTGGAATCTATTATGGTGTTCTATAAAAATTACAGAGCTATGAGGAAAAAACGTGAAAAATCTTAAAATATAGGAATATTTCTAGATTTAAAAAAAGGTACAGTTTCTCATGACATTCTTTTCAAAAAACTACAAAATTGTGGCATAAGGGGTAAGAGTTTGGACTTAACAAAGAATTATTTATCGAAAAGAGAAAAATTTGCAAAATTACGTGATACTTTCAGCCAAAAAACACATCTTATTTGTGGTGTTCCTCAAGGAACTGTTCTAGGTCCAACTCTTCTCCGCATTTATATTAATGACATATTAAAAACAGATATTGATGGATATTATTGTCTCATATGCTGATAATACATTGATAATTGTTCATGGAAATTCTTGGTCACAAGCTGTATCCAATGCAGAAAAAGCTATAGGAATAGTAAAAAAATAATCTTGATTTTCACTTGTTATAACAGAATTGACTTTCCACGATCAGAGTTGCTCTGAAAATGTATCCAAAATGAATGTAATTTGTTCAAGTTCTAATAAAATATCTAAAGTGAATACAATCAAATTTCTCGGTATATACATTGATCAAAATTTGAAGTGGAATTATCATGTCTCAGAACTAACAAAGAAACTCAGAAGTACCCTTCCAAAATTCAGAATTTTGCGAAATATTGCCAGTAGACGTTTAATAATCATGTTTTATCAAACTCTCTTCCAATCTATATTATCGTATGGAATAATTGGATGGGGTGGTATGTATGAAACTCATCTAAAACTTTTATTATGTATTCAAAAATGTGTTTCGAAAATAATATTCCGTAAATTATTTGATTATCCATCAGCATTATTATTTTTTGAAAATAACGTATTGAATGTCAGGCATTATTCTATAAGGCGTCAATAATCTTTATTAAAAAGAATGATGCTTACATACTTATGATTTAAGAAACAAAATCAACAATGTACGACTTGAAAAACATAAGCTTAGAATTTCAGAAAAACGTTCTAGTTTTATTGGATCTAAATTTATAAAAGAATACCATTAGAATTAAAACGCCAAAAAAGAAGTTAAAAGTTGGCTTTTAGAAAATGCCAAAAAAAGCGATGATCTTTATTCTCATTATTGTATGAATTGATTATTTGTTTTCAGTGCAAGTATTTATATTATGGAAAAACAATTGTATACGTGAAATACTTCATCTCTTTCACGCACAGGTCACTAACCTATGTGAAGGAGATACAATACGAAATATATAGTCAAGTGATTGATATTCGATGACAAAATGTAGATTGTACTCAATTGAATAAATAAATAAATAAATAAACCTTCTGATTTTCTTCTCCAAAGGTGAATCATAAAAATTGACCCCATCTGTTAGGAGCGGCACTGTCGAACTTGAAATCCATGTTTACATCCATATCTGATAAGTAACATTAAAAAATCCGAGTATATCAATCAGTAAATAGCTGTTCGATGACTAATTGGTTATCTAATGGGACGCTATCAGCAGATATCCTGTAATCGCTGAAATCTTACTAATCAGATATCGTTATCTCCACATATCGATGTATGCATTTGGAGAATACTCCATGAAATGGGTTTGTTTGGTGGCTTTAAGGCGAAATTCACAAAAACTGCCAAGAAAGAGAAATCTGATGGAATAGTTATTCTGAAATATCAAGTGCATTCGGAATTCGACTCTGATTACGGTAAGTAGGTCCATATTTCAATGGCAAATTTCACATCTACCATTTTCGACCAAGTAATAGCCTGTATTTTGTATCGTTAGCATAGAAACTGAATACATTTCCGGAGATTTTTTCCTCCTTGAATAAAGGAGCATGAAATTACAATGGACTTTTAAAGATAAAATGACAATTTCATTCAACTTCAGATTATGTCGAATTCATTCTATGAGTTGATAAGTTCCTTGTTACAATAGTTATTTTTGTATCTAAAGCGCGAAATCCTACTTTGGTGATCGAGATCTGAATTTTTCAAATCGATCATAGCCGTAGATGGACAATGGATATAGGGTATAAACACCCACTTCAATTCATAGTGATACACTTCTAGCAGAGCAAGATTTATACAAGGTGATTCTAAAATAGGTGGTCAAACTTTGGGAGTATATAGAGTGAGTGAAATAATTACGAAAACCTCGGTAACATTTTTTTCTGAAGTGCCCCCCAAGAAAGATACAGCCCCTCAAAGGGGGGCCTCGGAGAATGATTTTGAACTATTATCGCCAACACCTTGTAAGATGAAAATCTAAAATTTTGTTTATCCACTAGCTATTCAGTGCCGGTTCGAATGGAGTTAAAATCACCTCAAAATTAAATACAGGGGTGTGTCAAAACAGGGAGGTGGGGGGTAAAAATAACCCCAACTTTTTTGTTCATCGCAATTTCAGTTTTTTTACATGAAATTATGAAATCTCAGGGCTATTAACATAGAAAAGGATCTCTTGTTGGATCTCGATAAACTGAACCATTAGCGAATAAAATTTATTTTTCCAAGATTTCATTTAAATTGCAATTTTGGTATGCACTTAAGTTTAATTATCTAGTTCAAATCTTGCAACTGAATTTTCACCTACTTCTAATCGTCTGATCAACTTGGAATCTGGCAGATGACAGTTGACAACGCGTTATGGACTTTTTGATAGAAAAAAATATGGCGGCTCCAATGTGGCTGACCAGATTTGTGATTATGGTTCGATTCGATTCAAAATTGGTTTGTAAGGGTTTTTGGGGTTGGAAATTTTTGAATTCATTGTCGGAATTGCTGAATTAACAATAGACGACGAGTTTCGTGATTATGGTCTGATCCTATTGAAAATACTGAAATAAAAAATATTGTTGAAAACAAGCTTTTTTTAAATTTTATTCGCTAATAGTTAATTTTATCGAGATGCAACAAGAGCACCTTTTTCATGTAAATAGCCCTGAGATTTCATAATTTTATGTCAAAAAACTGAAATTGCGATGAACAAAAAAGTTGGGGTTATTTTTACCCCCTACCTCCCTATTTTGAGACACCCCTGTATTTTATTTAGAGGTGATTTTAACCCCATTCGAACCGGCACTGAATAGTAAGCGGATAGACAAAATTTCAGATTTTCATTATACAAGGTGTTGGAGATAATAATACAAAATCATTCTCCGAGGCCCCCATTTGAGGGGCTGTATCTTTCTTGGGGGGCACTTCAGAAAAAAATGTTACAGAGGTTTTCGTAATTATTTCACCCACTCTATATGCTCCCAAAATTTGACCACCTATTTTAGAATCACCTTGTATAAATGAAAAAAATGCATGTATAACAACATTTTAATATCAGAGATTATATACATATGGATAAACTTATAGCTATAATTCCTTATTGTATGTGAAACTGTACTCCAGTGAAGTATTCCTGAGACAATTTTAAGAAATAAAGCCTATATAAGTTTATATGTGTCTGGAAATGCTTCATTTCGGATATACAGGGTGTTGAAAAACAGAGAACAAATCATTCTTCGATAAAGATTTCATGGGAAAAAAGTAATTTATTTTGACGAGACCTACCAAATACTTGGTTTTGTTAAGTTCTCAGCAACTTCACTTTGCGCCCTAGGAGCTAAGTAACATGAATCGATATAGAAAATATCTCCAAAACGATAATCTCGGACGTAATTAAGGCCCTTATAATAATTTCCTTGATACATAAATATCTATTCACTTTTCACTGTTGAATTTTGAATTCGCGGTCAGCACCAAAACGCCATTCAATATAATATATCACGTTGTAGTTTACTTGCTTTTCTTAGTTTCGTTTTCAAATTTTTAATTTCATAATGTAATTTCGCGATCATTTCCCTTTTTCCATGATTATTTTGTTTTGTATTTTGTGTGATGATAATAATGGAATTTAGTTCTTGAAATCGTCTGCTTTGTGAGTGGATGGAACAGCCAGATTCTCTCAAACAGATTTTAAAATCTTCTGTTTGAAAATGGGCCTAAAATATAGATTCATTCCAATCAGCTGCTGTTATAAGAAGTGAATTTCAATGAGTACCTCACAAATTTCGCTCGTCTTCAAATTGATTTTCCACCCAGGCCGTTTCATATATCTTCCTTCCATAAGCGAATGCTTGATATATTTGATTTGGAAAATCGAATGAATGATATCCATTTGTTTCAAAATTGGCACAATTCATTATACAGCAAGTAGCTTCCATAGCTGCTTTCATCTCGAAAGTATATAATAATTATGAAATTTCATTTCAATTCTGACGTTTATGAAATGAATTGTCAAATTAAAAAAATTTCGAATGAAAAAGCGCGGGACGACTATGGTGCTCTTGTCACAATGCAAGGTGTGTAACTTTATAAATCTAAACATTCAAAAACCCTAACTGTTGTCATTTCTGTGTCCGAACTCTTATCAAACTAATACCATCAAGTGACTCTAGGATAGTCCGAGTACCTCTTGATAAAAGTTGAATTATCCACAGCACATCCACCGTCTTCGAATGGCATAAAAAAACCAGCAGTGGTAGTACGCCATCGCTCCAACCCAAGAAGACCAACTGTAATTTCTGCCAATTACAATGATACCAACATCACAACTGCAATCGATAAACAAAAAAGTTCCTCGCTGCATAACCTACACGCAGATTTTGAACTGGTCAGAATCCCACGACAACCCAACCCAAATATCAATATTGAAGAACGGATTCACAACAATTCACTACCATTGAACTCGTTTCAACCACTCTCAGAAACTAGTTACATTGCTAACCTAGTTCCAGAGGCTACTGAGACTGGAAGCATACCGAAATCAACTGGAGGAAACGCAAAACAAACATGGAAAGTAGAAGAATCAGTGAAACTCAATGACAGCTCCATCTACGGCCCAGAATCTTATTACGAACCTTCTGGCAATAGAATAGCCCTAGCTCAAAGTCACACGAACCAAGATGACTATCACATGTCACGTCCATTGACTAGTACTTCTTTCAAACCACTTCCAGAGCCTATTAACATCGCTGAACTAGTTCCAGAGGCTACTAAGACTAAAAGCATACCGAAATCAACTGGAGAAGACGCAAAACAAATACGGAAAGTAGACGAATCAGTGAAACTCTATGATAGCTCCATCTACAGCCCAGAATCTTACTATCAACCTTCTGGCTATAGTACGTCCCTAACTCAAAGTCACACGAACCAAGATGACTATCAAAAGTCACGTCCATTGACTAGTACTTCTTTTAAACCACTTCCAGAGCCTAGTAAAATCGCTGAACTAGTCCCAGAGACTACTAAGACTGAAATCATACCGAAGTCAACTAGAGAAAACGCGGAAGAAGAATGGATAGGAGTGGGCCTTACTAATAGCTCTATCTACAGACCAAAAACCAACTACCAACCTTCTGACAACAGTAGATCCCTACCTCCAAGTCACACGAGCCAAGATGTCCCAACAACCAATCAAGAGTATGAACCATCAACATTAATCTCCATGACCCAGCACAGTCCAGATTTACAAGAATACAACGTGAGCAGCATGAATACGATAGCTGCCGCTACTCAAACGACAGAAATCGATGAAGACCGAGATGAAGAAGGAGAAGAATTCAAGGTGCACATTGTCCAGCACAATTCAGCGGCAGACAATCACACTTCTGAGGACGAGACGTCTTATCAAGAAGACGAACTGTCGGAATATGTTTCGTTGGGGTACAGCAGCCAGGCAGCTAGCATTTTTTTCGGTAATGACGTGTTGCCTACTTTTACGACCTCGAGGCGAGTCAGAATAATGTATAGCGATAGTGAAGACGAAGAGCAGGATGGTGAAGCGGATTGTTGAGATTTTGACGATATTTTGTACTAAAATATTTAATTTTTTGAAATATAATTTACTAGATAGCAGAGTTTCTTCAGTACAATGGGATGTTTTTATCAAGAACAAAATCTACGAAAAATTATACAGTGTGACCCACTTTGATAACATTTTCATCTCCACGACAATTTATTGTGAAAACTAACGGGTTCATTGTGAATAATCACATCAAGGTAACATGTTTTCGGATATACGTATGTCCATCATCAGCCTAATAAGAAATTACATTGTCCTACAATGGGAAAAATGATTGATTGAGTAACACGAGGAATCCTTACCATAGATATGGGGTGAAAAAATGTTTATAATAAACGTAGAGAATTAAAAAACATGAAAGTTAAATGATTAGTTGTGTTTTCTAGGGGGATAACCATGTAAACCCCCATAGATGGGCATTATGATGGATAATAAAAAATTAAAGAGTCCCCTAACATTTGGGGCACTTCCATGAGCAAGTTGACGGCACAATTATGAATGACTTCCATCTTGTTAAACAAACCACAAGTGGAGGCAGGAAATCACATGATCATCGAGACAAACTACAAATGTCAATTTAGTGACAAATAAAATCAGACAAACAAAGCTGTACTGACTGTCATTAATCTCCAACCTACAATTGCAGAATGTCTACGTAGATAAAAAGATAAGAGGATTATAAAAACACTGGAATGTAGAATTATGTGAACAACTTTTTATCTACGTAAACAATCTGCAATTGTAGGTTGGAAATTAATGACAGCCAGTACATCTATGTATGTCCGAAAAAAAAGTTACCTTGATATGATTATTCACAATGAACCCGTGAGTTTTCACAATAAATTGTCGTGGAGATGACTTTGTTTATTATTCAGTATTAACCACTGTACTCCACTTTGAGAGACGATAGACTTCTACCAGAGATTAACTCTTTTATTTTCCTATTTGTTGATCGATTTTAAAAATTTTCTCACTCAACCTGTAGTACTCCATACCATCTACGATCCTGAGTTCTCTCATTGCAATATCACAGGGCCGAATGTGATAAATTATTAAAAGTGCAAAAAATCTGTGATATATTTTTTTCCAGAAACTAATATCATCAGCACGTTTCTAAACTTCTGGAACATATATACAGTGTGTCCCGCTTTTCATGAATACACCCTAATATCTCAGTGAAGTATTTAGCGGAGTGAACAGTTTCATTCACCATTGGCATGTGATGTTGAGGGGTTAAAAGAAGTCCTTCATTCGGGAAAATGATGTTAGGGCTTATTTCAATAGTTATTTATTATACAAGGGAAAAAAGTAGTAGATTTTAGCTCCAGGTTGTGTTGTCTCCCGACGCGTAGCGGAGGGAGACAAAAAACCGTGAGCTAAAATCTAATATTTTTCCCGTGTATAATACACTATTTTTTTCTGTGACAGAAGGAAGGACGAATCAATATTGGGAAGATATTACATTATTTCGAAATCTGAAAATTATCGACTTGAAATTTCAAGTTTTTAACAGTAGGGACACCTGCGTTTTATAGACATCTTCATCATTCTTTTGAAGTAATCAAATATCTGATGTCACTTCTGTCAGTTCAATTCTGTGATTTGATTTTAAAAAATTGCGAATTCAGTAGTTGTTTAGTAATATACGAAACCGCGAAGTCGAATGGAAGATAAAAGGACTTGCAGTTCTTTCTCGGAGACGGTATTATTGACTTATTTATCGGAACTATAACACAACAAAAGCCATTAACAGAGTATATATATGTGATATATATCCGGGAAAGAAGTACTCACTTTTTTCCCACGGGAAAAAAGTAATTTATGAAAAGTGGCATTTTATAACCTGCCAACAGAGATGAAATGCCAAACTTTTTTCCCGTCACAGAAAAAATAACTTTTTTCATCAGATTCAGAATTAGCTTCCCCAAACCCCAACCTCCAATTCATATTTCCAAAATCTCAAAATAAATTCAAAATCTTGCTTCTTCTGTAACTATCATACACAGGATAGTGTTTGTAGAAGAGATAATTATTTTTCAAGTTGAATTATCAGGTAATTATTACATACTCCGAGGTAATACAAATAATTCTTTGAAACTTGAAAAATAATTTCATGTTTGTACAAACAACTGATAAACTTCAAAACGACCGAATAAGTGTTCTAGGAGTATGTGAATAAAATTATGATATTCTAATATTTCACAAAAGATTGTTTTCACGGAAAATAGATAATTCTTTTAAATCATATCATATTCTGATGATATTAGTTTTTTGCCCGAAAATACCTGACATTATTAATTGTTTGTTTTTTGGTATTTCGAATCGATCATAGTTGACCGAGAAATAAATTTTGAGCGAAACATTAATGAAAAAGTGGGCAACGAATATGAAATTAGAAGGGTGATGCTGCTCAAAGTGGGTTGCCAAAATATGGGTCAAATAAAGTTTTCTTTCTTTTTTTTTAATTTTGAACAGTATATCCATTTGCAAGTAAGGTTAGTCAACAACTATTTTCATCTGTATCATTTTTTATCTCATTTTTTTTAAAGAAGGATAATGTGAGTTCTCTGTCAGTTTGTACGATGAATTGATGTTGGTATAAATCAGGTAGTAGTTGTTTTTTGAATCAGAAAATATATAATGTGATTTTGTTTCATATCAGAATATATATATATTTATTTATTTATGTATTTATTCATTTATCGAATCAAGTGAAATCTACATTTTGTCATAGAATATCAATTACACGTATATACCGGGTGGCTACGGAAGTATTGCCTACAGAATATCTCGTTTATTGTATGAAGTAGGTTTGTGAAATTTGGAGCGTCGATATAATGACATACGAGCTAGAATTTGAGCATATTGACATGTCGAAGTTAACTTCCGGTCTGACCGGAAGTAACATCAACTTTCTTATTTTGAATGGAAACCCTATTTTTTTTCTTTTCGCTTTATTCAGCATTCAATTCCCTTTCTAATGACATATCACAAGTTGGTATCTAAGCAGAAACTAGATCAGAAAAAAATTATTATTGAAATTCACCGAGTAGGCCGTGGAAACAAAATGAAAGCCAAAAATTGAAAAGTTGGCTATGGAAACCATACGTCACTTGATAACAGTTGCTACTACTGTGATATTTTATTTTCATTCGTCGGCGTTATAAAAAGCCGCCAAAAAAAATATTGGAAAAATTGGGAAAAAACAATACTCTGTAGGTCCATAACTTAAATAGGAACATACAACTTTTTCTTGCCTGTACTATTCAGCATAACCATCCCTTTCTAATGATATAATAGAAAGTCATTTTTTGAAATGAAATACCAAAAAATCCAATCATTATTCTTCAAATAACAAAACAGATTATCGCCATACGCAAAAATAAAATTAAAAATAATGTGGAATGATAAATTATATCCTGTAGGTTCTATTATATCATTAGAAAGGAATGGTTATGCTGAATAGTACAGGCAAGGAAAAGTTGTATGTTTCTATTTAAGTTATGGACCTACAGAGTATTGTTGTTTTCCCAATTTTTTCAATATTTTTTTTGGCGGCTTTTTATAACACCGACGAATGAAAATAAAATATCACAGTAGTAGCAACTGTTATCAAGTGACGTATGGTTTCCATAGCCAACTTTTCAATTTTTGGCTTTCATTTTGCTTCCACGGCCTACTCGGTGAATTTCAATAATAATTTTTTTCTGATCTAGTTTCTGGTTAGATACCAACTTGTGATATGTCAATAGAAAGGGAATTGACTGCTGAATAAAGCGAAAAGAAAAAAAAATAGGGCTTCCATTTAAAATAAGAAAGTTGATGTTACTTCCGGTCAGACCGGAAGTTAACTTCGACATGTCAATATGCTCAAATTCTAGCTCTTATGTCATTATATCGACGCTCCAAATTTCACAAACCTACTTCATACAATAACTGAGATATTCCGTAGGCAATACTTCCGTAGCCACCCGGTATATTTCATATTGTATCTCCTTCACATGGGTTAGTGACCTATGCGTGAAAGAGATGAATTATGTCACAGAAAAAATTGTTTTTCCACAATATAAATAATTAAACTGAAAACAAATGATCGATTCATACAATAATGAGAATAAATTAAAATATCAAAAAATAGAGTTGACTAAAAAAGATCATCGATTTTTTTCGCATCTTCTATAAGCCAACTTTCAACTTCTTTTTTGCAAGATGATATTTAGGCGTTTTAATTTTGATGGTGTTCTATTATAAATTTTGGATTAAATGAAACTAGAATGTCTTTCTAAATTCTAAGCTAATGTTTTTCAAGTCGTACATTGTTGATTTTGTTTCTTGTATCAAAACTATGATTGATTTCATTGGTTATTGCCGGATTATTTTTAATACAGATTATTGACGCCTCATAGCCAACTTATATATTATTTTTCTGAACATAATGATGCTGATGGATAATCAAATGATTTACGGAATATTATTTTCAAAACATATTTTTGAATACATAATAAAGGTTTTAGATGAGTTTCATAAAAACCACCCAATCCAATTATTCCATAGGATAATATAGATTGGAATGATCTATCAATAATCAACATTTTGAATATTCATATTCCTAATGCAAAAATGAATTTCGAACTGGCTAGGACTTCGGAAGACTAGTAAATAGAATAACTTACCTATGCAACTTCGCCAAAGGAAAATAGATGCATAATTTCTGGTGCAACTCGCAGAATTCTTTGTATTTTCTCTGGATCTCCATCGGCTGATTCTGACCCTTTCTATATACCCTAAGTATATAAACGTAATACTTATCAGGATCGTATCGTTTTCTATAATTCACAACTTCCACGTGCACCAATTGTCCGTCTGTGGTCATACTGAAAATCAATTACAAGTAATTTTTATTTGATATAATATACACGGTGATCCAAAATTGTTCCCAAGTAATTTCTTTCAAGTAGGTAAAATTAGATAATGACTAGGGGCAATGGGGAAGTTTCCAATATTGAGTCAAAGTATGTGAAAATTCAATACACAAGTATTTTTTTTCCATAGGATCAAATTTCACTTCAGAAAAAAAAAACTTAAGAGGTACTTGGTTTTTTCACCATTCCCATGACGTATCTACTTTCTGGGAAGCCATATTCAGACAGAGTTGAATTACAATTCCTCAGTACGACGTTGCCGATATCATCAATATGTCTAGATCGATTTCCAAAATTGTTCTTTGAATGCATTATAACTCTTTATATTATAACAGAAATGGGACATATTACGTTTTTTAATCCTTTGATGTTATTGTCGAGCTTCATGAATAATTTTTATGAATCTCTCATTTGATGGATGACATCGATAAATTATTATATTTGCGATAGCATCTATAACTTTTCACTTTCGTCATGTTACAGAATGATGATCATAACCAGTCATTATTTTTTTTTTCAAATGAATTCGTTTCTTTATATAACGTGTCTATTTTCTAGGAAAAGTAGCAGACTATATCTTGCAACAGCGCATAATACTTTGACTCCCTCCACACCACACAAAATAGTCACAGGCACACCACGAGAGCTGATCTGATTTTGTGATTATGAATGTTTTTGTTTACCAGTTTTACTTGTGGATCTCCAGTTATTCGTTAGCCTGTCTACAGTTTACAGTTATTTTGTTAGTTCATTATTTTTCATGATATAATCAATGACGACGACAAGTTGTTTTCTTTTTCAATTTTTTTATTTATTGTTTATTATTGTTTATTATTGTTTATTGAGAAAATAGCTTCCAGTCAGAAATAAAATTCTGGTTTGAGGAAGTTGATTACAAACAACAATAATAAAATGACATAGGGAGACAACAAATGAAAAAAAAATCAAAAAAATGCTAAATCGATCAAGTTATAAAAATAGCAACAGGGACTAATCAGTAGATGGCAAAGTATCAATTTTATCCATTCCGTAATGAAATCATGTGTTTTTTTAATTCAATTTCAAATTTTGAAATATGTCTGCAATTTTTATATTATGTAGTGATTTAATGAGCTCGGCTAGAGCAGCATGAGTAATTTTTGTGGCCACTTATAGAAGTAGCAGAATCAAGATGAAATAAGATAAATTGTCTCGTGTGATGACCATGAATTTCTGAGTTTCTTATTAAAACAGATTATTGTTTATAATATCATATGAAACTTCAAGAAAATCTATTTTGTACAATTCATCCAATGAACATTTTTCTGTTATCGCATACAGATCATTTGTTGGGATATCAAATGAGAGGCGATACAATACTTTCAGTGCTTTCTTATAAAGTGCAGATATTTTCCTGAAATAATTTTTTGAACAAGATCCCCAAACGTTTATCATATAGGTAATACGATTGAGTATATGAGAATGAAGTACTATGTTTATGACTTTTTTGTCAAGTTTAGGACATCTTCGCAAAGCTCCAATGATTGGAGATATTTTTTGTATTAGAACATCTATATGCTTGTCCCATTTCAATTTTTCATCAATCCACAAACCAAGACACTTCATTTGTGTAGTTCTTTTCAATACTTTATTTTTCATTCATTAGCCATTCGCTATCTATATTCCTCAACATCAGCTATGTTCAGTTTGCCGCCCCGAAAATCAGAAATTGCTTTGGACTTTATCGATCGCCATTTTGTACAGCGTGGGCATAAAACTGAGGAGTACAGAACTTATTTTATGAAAATTCATCTGAAGGAAACTTCCCCATTCTTGTGAATGTGTAATGAAAATATGAACGTTTTTCAATCAAATTTGCTTGGGGAGAGTCGAAGACGTGAATCCTAACCTGTAAGTTTTCGGAACGAAAGACAACAATGATCCGCCATTGTTGTCGGCAGTGAATTTCAACTGGGCCAGATTGTGCAGGAAAAAGTTGAATTGGGTGAATCGCGTTTTCAGGGACTCCTCAATAAGTCTAGTGAAATAGGCCGCCGCCTCTGGATTCGACAGCTCCGGAAGCAACGCTTTGTGCATGTAACTGATGGATTCTGGAGTTATCCTGCATATACCTGAACATGTTATCTGCAAAACATAATTCAATAAAAATACAGTGTGAGCCACTCCGAAGCGGGACACCTCAATAGAATTTGTATCAACTCATAGATTTCGAAGAATTCTCTCTTGGATTGTGGAGCTTGTAAAACTGTACTCTAGAATGACACATATTATTTTTTCTACAAAAACCAAGGCATATTGCAAATATTTGCAGAGGTTAAAATTCAAGAGATCATAATATCGTAATGTCATAAATCCCATTGGATTCAGCACCTCCTCAAATGGTTGTAACCAAATTTGGTTTTAAATGTTGTTACCTACGTATTTTTGTCGAAAAACACGAATTTGATAATGAAAATGTGAACAAACCACTATTTATCGAGATATTTCAAGTAAAAGTTCGAAATTTCGCCATCTTTTTTCCCCTGTCTTGAATGCATTTACCGCTTCTTGCTCTTCTTATTATGTCATTGGACACTTTATATACTCATGACACCTTTTTATATAGAGAATTGAATACGAAATATGAATTTTATTGCGAGTTTTTCATATTTAGTGAACAATCATACCAGATGATGCCCAATAACCAATCCAAATACGAGATGTCAAATGTCAACAGATTGCTCTTGAATGACATTACACAAGCCTTGGGCCATTTGCCCTTCATTTTTATCATTATCATAATTCAAATTGTATCATGCAATAATTTTATTAACTTCTCCTTTTTTTTTCATTTCCACAAAATTGTCAATTAAAATATGCTGCTGATGATGGACTATTGATAGTCCGAAACATGTACAGATACTGATTATTCAGTCAATAAATTTGTGGAGATGACTTTGTGTGTCTTGTTTGTCACTAAATATGGATGAATCACAAGGAAATCATATTTCTAGTTGACTTTCATATATAAATAGTCGTATCATTGAAGTACATCGTGGTATATGAATTGTCCAATGAAGAAAATGAAGGGCACATTTTTCTGAATGCGATCCAAAAAAACAGGCGGAAAAGTGAAATTTGTAACTTTATAGTGAAATATCTTATAAATATAATGTTTTGTTCACAATTTCATCAACAAGTTCGTGTTTTTCAGACAAAAATTCGTAAGAACCATCAAATTTTTTCGAAAAAAAAAAGTGCAAAATTACCCCAAATTTCACAATGTGATAAAAGAATGGTTGAATATTAATTATAAAAATCGATGGATTGGTCGGAATAGTCCTCTTATTCAATCAACGCCAAGATCTCCGGACCTGACACCGCTGGATTTTTTCTTTGGAGCATTTTGAAGCATAAATTTCACAAGTTCAGACCGCAGTCAGTAGAAGAACTACGCATCAGTGTCATTTTCAATATCGAATATGTTTTTATGAAATTCGGTATACAACAAATTGAGGAGGTGCTGAAAATCACCATTGGATTTTGAATTTTTCGTAAAAAAAATTGCTAATATAATTCCTGAAAACTTCATCAAAAAATATATCCAGTAGGCCTTGTTTTTTGATATCTTATTTGTCCTTAAGTACAGTTTTTCAAGTTCCACAATTAGGAGAAACATTTATTGATAATTTATAAATTCTCAATTATGTATTAGTAATATGAACTATAAAAAATTGTCTCTCTTATAATTATGTTGTGTCTTATTGCTTATGTTGAATGTGTTAATAATAATTATATTAATTCATACTAGAGAACATTTGGTACTGTAAACGGGACAACACAAAACTGTGGGCGTTGTCTTGTCAGTACTCAGCATTCAGGACATAATTGCCAAATGTGTATAGCTAATATGTACATGATGTTTTGTTATGAAGTATAAGAAATACTTTGACAAGTAGGTTGCTAGAAGAAGTCACAAATTAATAACTATAATATCATGGCAACCTCCTATTAGACCAAATGAAATATTTTATCTAGATGTAGTTTTATTCAACGATAGGACTCTAACAACTTTTTAATCACTTGATTATAATTGGTGACACATTATTTCATAAAAAACGCGTAAGAAGTGCTACAAAAATTGAAACAGGTTCGTATGGACCCAGTGGAATAATTGAATGCAAATTATTCACTACTACCTCTCAAGTGGGTCACACTGTATAAATAAACTATACACTGTGTGCATTAAAAATCCATTTGCTCTGAATAGTAAGCTACTGAACAGTATTGAATTTTTCACATTCAACAATTATACTGTGTTGTTTAGACCTCAAGACAATTTTCTGACCATTCAAATATGTTTTATTACTTGGTGCTAGGCACTTTCTCACAGACTCATACACCTCGTTTTGGCACCCTTACATAGATCACCCAGTACAGCACTATATTATTTTCATGTAACAATATTTCAATAGTAGTATTCGACATACTTACCAAAAATAAAAATAAATTCCTATTATTTCTGATAACATTGAATGCCTGACAACACAAATCCACAAAATGGTGGAATTTTTCCGTCGGTCTATCGCCACCATTTATCACGTATGCCATGTCAGAGGTGAGAACGAAAGGAGCCCGATCCCTGAAAAACTTAAATATCAAGCATTCACACCAGAAGGAAAATTATATTTTACCTCCTAAAGTTACCAAACATTTGTGCGTCTCCCAAGAATTTACCGAAATCGATATGGAACAGGTGACCAGAAGTTTTTAACATAATGTTATCATTATGTCTATCACAGATACCAAGAATATACGTTATTACACAATAACCAGCACATGATGCTGAAAAGAAATAACAATGAAGGTATGCTATGGGTTGCGTGCAAGAACTGTCAGATAACCCACGCTGGAGGCAAAACATTGAAACACAACGTCACTTTTCTTATTTGTTTACAAGTGATCGAAATAGTTTTTCACAATTATTTTGGCATAAGAATCGTATTTTTCCGCTATTCATCAATTCGCTCATACCATCACATTGTGCTGTTGTAAAATGCACAAAAACTGCAGCGGAAGATGAAGGAATCCGGATGGCACATTATGATTTAAAAGTAAGTACCTACTATAGTCACACACATATAGTTTTCATTCTTGAAATTTGGTTATTTCTCTGATTTCTCATCGGAATTCCTTCTGCAATAAGAGCTAATGGAAATATACCTGAAATTTCTAGAATAATGCAAGAAGATTGGATTCATGCAATCAATCGGGAGGACTGGTCTGACATGCTGACTATCGTGTGTGTTGTAGACATTTTCAATCTATTAGCAGTATTAGCTTGTATTGCAGAAGTGGCAGAAGGCAGAAGGAATTTTAATAAGGAATGACAACATTTCATAATGATAACTATGTGAGATTACTATTTACCTGAAAAATTATATTCCCTAGTCTCTTGCTGCATTTTTTGTGCATTGTACAACAGCACAATGCGAAGGTATGCTTGAATTAATGAATAACGCAAGAAACACGATTCGTATGCCAAAATATTGTGAAAAACTATTTCAATTCCTCTGTGAACAAATGAAAAAGTGAGGTTGTGTTTCAATAATTCACAGAAGAGTGAGGTTGTGTTTCAATATTTCGCCTCCAGGGTCGGTCATCGTGCACGCGACCTATATGAAAATTGAAAGTTCTATGTAGTCTAACCTGTAAAATTCTGTATGGCCCTTGCATATTCCAATTCGGAAGGATTGTGCTTGGCGAACCATTCTGCTATGGGCTTGTCTTTGAATGACCCTGTCAGACCATGTTCTACCTGTATTTTTCGTAGCGTTTCAGCTTTCGTAACCATCTCGATCATACCTACAAAATTCCATTCGAAACGAAACAGAAAATCATCGGAATTCATAAAAAAATTGATGGATATAGTGAACTTTGCACAAGACACGAGTTACTCCAATGAAGCTGAGTTGTGTCAACTATGGGAACGTTTCTATATATACGTTTTTCCCTTTTTTTCGTCAAATCAAATCACACTTCAGACAAAAATGAATGAAAATGGAATTTGGCTTCTTCGACATACAAAATTCCATTCGAAACGAAACAGAAAATCATCGGAATTCATAAAAAAATTGATGGATATAGTGAACTTTGCACAAGACACGAGTTACTCCAATGAAGCTGAGTTGTGTCAACTATGGGAACGTTTCTATATATACGTTTTTTCCTTTTTTTCGTCAAATCAAATCACACTTCAGACAAAAATGAATGAAAATGGAACTTGGCTTCTTCGACATTCTTATGACGATGATGTGAAAACCCACATTTACACAGAGTTGAAATACCATTCCATGGTTCAATACGTTGCAGGCGTCATCAATATGTCTAGGATTCCGTAAATTATACTTTGAAACAATTATGACTATAGGTATAATAATATTATCTTTATTATTCCCCAGAAACATAAATGTATAAAACAGGGTGTTGAAGAAAATTATTATTTATATTCGTTCGTTTCCAAATACACCTTGTATGTTGTTAAAAAAGAGAAATAGTGTCAGTGTCAGATAATTGATGAATGAATGATTGTAAACGTCAATGAAATATATAAAGAAATTACGAGACAACCCAAATGATATCAGTCTGAAAGTATTTTCTGAATGGTTGAGAGAAAAAGCAAAGATAATTATCTTGTTTTATTGATAGTCCGTTGTTGATGACGGAAAATTGATAAAACGGTGTCTCTTCGTGCATATCCTGAAGGACCTTTTCCTGAATTTTCCATCCTCAACAACGGACTATCAATAAAACAAGATATCTTTGGTGTCATGAGAAATACCACTGTGGAATCGACAATTGCAGTGGATTACATCATCCTTTACTACACGAGATCAAGAATGCATCTCACAGATCTGAAAACCCTAAAGAAATTCGAACTGAACACATCAATTCAACAAAAAATGTAAATAGTAACAATGTGTTGTTGAAGATCCTGCCAGTAAATATAAAGTACCAGCAGAATGAAATCATGGTATATGCCTTTTATGACGATGGACAGTAAAGTAATATAGTTTAAAAAGAAAGATTTTATCAACGTTATACAATCCTAAATGAACTGTGAGTTCCCTACCTTTCTTCCTAGAAGTGGGTATGCACGTGAAAGCGACCATCTTCAAATCTAATCCCTCCTTCATCCACAATTTATCCATCAGCCTGATCATCTGCAAGGTGAGCATGTCTTGCTGCAAATCGTCGCCCACCTTGTAAATAGCCGCCCTCACGGAACTGTCCTCCATCAGGAAGTTGATCTTCAGCGGCAGCGTATTGGAGGGGAAGTAGGAGCACGATTCTACGTCGACTCCTTTTACCCTGAGAGTGGGCGACAGGGGCAAACTGGTAGGGGTGTCTTGAAGGTCTTTGTGGATTTGAGCGAGAGCATTTTGCAGGATCGTCAGACGGTGAGATTCTTTGGTTTTTTGGACTTCTTCGGCGATGTCGCTCAGTTTCTGTAGTCCAACAAGTATTGAACAATCAATATTCTGTCGTACTGGACACACTAAACGGTTTCAATTTGGCCAAATGTTTGTCATCTGATTAATCAAGAATGAGGCTTCTACAAGTTGAATCAAAAGCAGAAAGAAATTCGAATCATCTCCAGCAAATGGTTTGAATATTCGTAATCTATTTGTCCACGGTCAGAAAGTTGATCTTCAACGGCAGCGTATTGGAGGGAAAGAGAGAGCAATATTCTACCTCGATCCCTTTCACCTTGAGATTGAGCGATAGGGGCAAACTGGTAGGGGTGTCTTGAAGGTCCTTGTGGATTTGAGCGAGAGCATTTTGCAGGATCGTCAGACGGTGAGATTCTTTGGTTTTTTGGACTTCTTCGGCAATGTCGCTCAGTTTCTGTACTCCAAAAATCATTGAAAAATCAATAATTTACCATATTGAACACACTGAACGGTTTCCTTTGGGCCAAGTGACTGTCATATGATCAATCAAGAGTTAGGTTTGTACAAGTTGATTCAGAAGCAGAAAGAACTCTGAATCATCTTCATGATTGTTAAAAGTCACCTAACGAAGAAATATTTGTAATCTATTTGTCCTCAATCAGAAAGTTGATCTTCAACGATAGGGCATTGGACAGGAATAAGAGCGCGATTCTACGTCGACCTTGAGGGTGGGCAAAAGGGGCGAACTGGTATGGGTGTCTTGAATCTTGAAGGGGTCCTTGTCGAATTGGGCAAGATCGTCAGACGGTGAGATTCTTTGGATTTTTGTTTTCATTGGCGATGTCACTCAGTCTCTGCGGTCCAACAATTATTGGATAATCAATTTTTATACTGGACATACTGAACGGTTTCAATTTGGTCATGTGACTGTGATTTGATTATTCGACAGTAAGGGTTCTCTATATACTTATACATATAGGCGCATCTTCAGCTGAAAGTTATCTCAAAATTCTGGAGCAACTAAACACATAGCAATCATATTGTTAAAAATTATTATGGTTTAGACACGACTGTTTGCAATCGATTGTACCAGTAGTTGGAATGATTATCAATTTAATCATGTCAGTCTTTTCATTGTGGAGAATTTGGATCAGTTTTAACATGTGATGATGACGATTACTATCACATCATTAATAAATTCGATAATATTGGAAAGGAAGTTATATAAATACTTATCCAAACTATTTGTTATTTCATACACAACTAAGATATTACCTTGACAAGGGACTGTTGTGATAAGAAACAGTCACCCAACGATTTCCCACTCACAGCCAATAAAGCTCTCAGCATTAATTTCAGTCTTCTGTGATGCCTAACCTCACTTATACTCATCTCTTCATTATTCCTAGTCTCACTATTACAATTCTGAAAATAAAGAAAAACATAAATAACGCTTTGAAGAAAAGCAAAGGGAGCGCTGGAATTATTATTATTATTTCGAAACAACAGCCCATTTTCAATCCGAATACAAAATTTGAAAGCTATTCAAGATGCATTGTTCAAAACTCATCAAAGTCTTCTAGATATTTTCAGTGTTTGAAATGTATTGAAGGAATAATACAGTTGAAATTATCGTTGGAAGATTTTGGGAAAATTATTTTCAGGGAAATAAAAAAAAGCTAGGAAATACGGAGTCCTACCTAACTAACCTAAGTGAGCTTGTTTGTTCTTAAAACCCATCTTTGAAACACTTGGTATCTGACAATTTTAAATCCTGTAAGTTCTGAGCAATGGATCTTTAATACTTTCTTCACAATAATCAAGGAGGTGGTACATTCATTTTTCAGATTGTTTAGGATTTTCTATTAAATAAGAATATGAGTATTATAACAACATATGAGCAGTGAGGACAAATGATTCACTATTAGAAGGCTTCAAAGTAAAATTGAATTATCAGTGACACCATGTTTTGAAAAATGTTTAAAGAAGATATAGATATATCGAAAATACTCATACATATTTTCATTTTAAAGAAAATTCCACAGAATTTATGAAAATGATTTGATCTTCAGATGGAAAAAGGCAACGCTCTGAAAAAAAAAATTACCTGCGGAGAATTTCCCGGCAAACTTTGGCACAAAAGCCAGAACAAATAATGGGCGAATCTGGGCGAACGCAGGGCTCTGTCCAGCAGGAATTGCGCCAACGGGGAATTCTCGTAGGTCTCGTGCCTCAAGGCCACCACCAGCTGGGGCAGATAGTCGACGAGCTCGTCGTTCGTCAGACCTCTTATCCACTTTATCGCCATCTTTCTCACCTCCAAATCTGGATAACTAGAGTTAAAGTTAACCATCTAAGTCGATCTATCATGCAGTGGAGTGAAGATAATAGGGCAGGAAGAAAATCTGACAGTCAACTCCACCAAAACTAAACTTTATTAAACAATGGGGAAGTTTCCTTTAGATGAATTTTCATAAAATAAGTTCGGAACTCTCCAGTTTTGTGTCCACGCTGTACAGAATGGCGACCGATAAAAGCCCAAGTCGTTTTCATTGTCAAATTAAAGCAATTTCTAATTTCCGGGGCGGCAAACTGTGACGTATATTCTGGATCTGGTCTGAAAATAGCTGATGGTGAAGAATATAGCTAGCGAATAGCTAACGAATAGCTAACGAATGAAGAACGAATGAAAAAAATAGAAGCTGAAGTAAAACTGGTAAACAAAAGCATACATAACCACAAATGCACTCGGAGCAGGAATGAAAAAGGTAGTTGGCTTCATTCTGACAGGTTACGGTTTTGTTAATTATGCATCTCGAATAGAGCTCGATCCTAAACAAAAATATCATTGAATCAATGAATCACTATCGGCTACATTCAATGATACTGTCCTTCCTGAATTACTGCTATCGGTCAGAACAGAATGAAGCCGACACCCATGGCTCCTTCCTCTTGTTGTGTCTGTCAGTATTTTGAGTGGTGTGGACGGACTCGAAGCATTAGGCGCTGTTGCAAGAGATAATCTGCAACTTTCCTACAAAATAGATCCGTCTTATTAAGGAGAGATTTCATTAGCAAGAAAATAACTGACAAGTAATGAATAACATATTGTAATATAACGATAATGGAAAATTATAGATACTATCGCAAAATATCATAATTTATCTTTATTAGTAATCAACTTCATTCAGCCAATGAGAGATTTATGGGAATTATTCATAATACTTGAGAAAGTAGGATTGAAGAACCTATTATATCCCATTGCTGTTATGATATAGTTATTATGCATTCAAAGAACGATTTCCGGAAATCTAGACATATTGATGATGTCGGCAACGTCGTACTGGCACAGGGGAGTATTTTAACTCTGTGTGAATGTGAATTTTCAAAAAGTACGTCATAGAAATGGTGGAGGAGCCAAGTACCTTCTTTATTTATTTTTTTCTGAAGTGAAATTTGATCTCACGAAAAAAAAAGAAAAAATACGTATGTATCAATTCTTTACAAACTTCACAGTAAGATAAACACTTCAATATTGGAAACTTCCCCATGGGGACATGTTTCGAAGCTTCAAAGCTTCATCATCAGCAAAAATTATTTGTTACAGGAAGTACTACCATAATAAAAAAAGCTACGTTATCATCTGAATGCTTGTCTGACGTAGCTATTTGTCTTTCTTATTGTAGTACTTCCTGTAACAAATAATTTTTGCTGATGATAAAGCTTTGAAGCACCGAAACATGTCCCAATTCCAATAAAGTATAGTTTTAGTGGAGTTGACTGTCAGATTGTCTCCCTGCCCTACAGTTAAAGTTCATATGAACCCTCAAAAACGTCACCTCATATAGATATATTGTCAAAAATTAAAATCGACGAGTATTTGGATAAGTACTCGAGTAGCTTCAATGATCAGAATCAGGTTTGTTCCGAAACACTTTGACATTGAGTCATACTCACACTGGCAACAACAACTCCAACGCTTGTATCGGTTTCAGTTTGGTCCAAGTATGCAGCATCCCGTGCAAATCGGGCAACCGATCGTACTCCCAACTGTGGGCGGCCAAAAGCACCTTCGGCAACGCTGTGGGCAGGTGGTACAGATAGTGGCGTTTTTCCCACAATATCTAAAGAGACACAATGGTTGATATTTAATATTTACATTTATAAATATCACTGGATGCAATCATTCCTCATTTGAATTCGAAATCTTCACAATACTTTTGTCCATGACAAAAACAATTGTTGTTGTTCTAAAAATACTCTATCTGTCATTCGAATATTCGATTCGAAAAAGCTTTTGATGTGGTTTATCGATGGGCGCACCAATGGTGACATGATTTTCAACAACCGCGAGAGCGAGAATTCACTTCTACCCATCCACAAATCTAGCAAATACTGCTGCTGGTAGATTCTGTTTGCAAATAGCAATAAAATTAATAATAATAATATTTATTTCACTTGTAAAAGAGTATAAAAGCGTAACAATTAACATTTACGTAAAGTAACAAGGAATACGTCTGTGTATGAATAAGAAAGTAAAAAAAAATACATATAAAGAAAACAACAATTTTATATAGAACAACAAAACTTGCCACCTATTTGGACATATAAAGGTAGGTAATTCATTTATAATTATCGAGAGTTATTAAAACTCGTCACCGGTGTAGCAGTTTCTTTCTATGAGATATTTTTTTTTAAATATTTTAAATATGGAGATATTCTTTGAGTCCTCAATAGAAACATCTAGCTTGTTAAATGGTTGTAGAGACAATTTATATGCTGATGAGGTCTATATGAACAAGCGTTGATTATATCAATTCAAAAATATACCTTGAAAATGATCTTCAAAGAACCTTTTGATTATTCTTCCAAAATCCTCTCTGAACATTATAACATTTCATCTGTTGATAAATTGTTTTATAAAACACCAACACTATACATTAGAAAACATTTACAAAACTATAATCATGTAAAACATGAATATGACACCAAAAATAAAATTGATGGTTGGATATCAACTGAGAAATTCTCTTCAACTTTAATGCAACAACATGTCATTCATATAGGTAAACAGATTTACAATGAATTGCCCCCTTCTTTGAAAAAAAAACCAGTTTTTTTGGATTCAAGAAAAAAATCGAATCGTGGTTGAGAATTCAGAAATTTTAGAAATTGGATTATATGAAAAAATACTTATGCAACATATCATGTATCTTATAGTTATTTTTAGATAATATAAAAATGTATTCATTATGTTAATTGTATTAAATGAGGAAATGAATTTACGTTAGTCAGTGGAAGGAAAAAAAATTTTATGATCATAGACAAGTTTTCAACTTTTTTTTTGGATCATGTTTATATTATAAAAAAATGTATATTATTAATATAGTACGCTGGTATCTCTGTTAATTTGAAAATGAATAAATAAAAAAAATAAATAACTGTAACGCTGACTTTTAGCTATTGTAAGGTGTACGGTGGCGTATACTTTTCAACGATTTATTAATGAATCGCGATGTCTATCCATTGATATTTAATCTGAGATAGGCACCGTTGCCACTTTTTCCAGTCCGGAGCTGGAGCTGAAACGTCTCGTGGATGGCAATGATTCCGCAGAATTATCCCCACCATTCACGATTTCATTCATCAGTCATCCGCGTTTGGCGTTTGGCATTGTTGGCGTATACTTTTTAACAATGTATGAATGAATCACGGCGTTCATCTATCGTTATTTATTCTAAGGACTCTAGCAAAAAATCACTTACCTCTCTGATTTCGGGCGAGAACCTGTACAACAAATCCTGATCGCACGCGTCCTCCAGCAGCTGCTGCGTCTCGTTGTCTAACGTGCCGAACTCCCCTTTGGCCACATCCCCGTACATATCTGGGGACGTCGCGGGGAAAACCACCCCCGTTGGGGCGACCACCTCGACGCCGATCATGGGGTGGTCGGGGTGGGGATGTGTGCCCATGGCCGGCGCCGGGCCGTAGATGTGGTCGTTGACGTAGTTGGATTCTTTGGGCCACATGGACAGCAGCAAGCAGCCTTGGATCATCGAACTGTCGCGAAACAGAATTCATTAGTAGTGGCAAAGATTTGCAGTGCACCTAGTCCCCGTTTGTTATTGTTTTTTTCGTTTTTTTTTATGTTCTGGTTCTCACGAGAACCAAGGGAAATAAGGTAGGAATTGATGTTCTTCTTAAATTTCTGGAGGTTATATGCCTCGGGGAACATCTCCCTTGGCAATGTGTTCCAGAGCCTTGCTGTTCGTTGGATGAACGAGTCTTTGGAAAGACGTCTTTGGAAAGACATGTACTGCAGGTCTCCAAAGTGATCACGAAGGGGTGCGAAGCCTCAACTCGACGGGTTAATTTCGCGGGGAGTGCCAAGGGAGGAACAATTGTTGATATTTCAGAAGAGCATCGTCCATGGAAATATCTATAAAATAGAGCCAGATCACCAACTTTTCTACGGTGTTCCAGATAAGTGAGTGAGTTTGTGAGCGAGGCATCACCCACGAGAAGAATTGCCCTTTTTGGACAGAATCCAAGAGTTTTAGGGTATGTTTGGGTGCTGCACTCGTAAGGGGGACTCGTAAGTCTCGAATTATTCAGATAATGAAATGAAAATAACAAATATATCACCTAACATCAGGTGGGTACTTCGAAGGAACAAATTCATTACTTCATGGGAGATACCCCTCAGATTTTTTGCTATTCAATGACTTGACCACGAATGACATTGACGTTTTAGTCTTTTGCGCAACCAAAATTGAGATGCTACGAGTCGATTACAAATACAAACACAAAGATATTCGTTACACTTTCGGTAACAAACATTTTTCTCGATACTTTTGTTCATCAACTCGTCGTCAATCGTTTTACTCACAAGTATCGTACAAAATACCTGAATAATTTGAAATAGAATTGACGCCCTGAAATTGGGAAAGGTGTAATCATAAATCCGCCGTGGATTTCATCGACTCCGATATTAATATTTGTATAACGATCGAATCAGTACAGCCGAATAGCCTCTGGTCTGTGACGTCCCAAGCAGCGTTGTCAATTTTTTCACAGTATCTAGGGTGTGTATAATCTTTGGTACTGGCCTGATTCGAACGGAACGGATCGTTTATATTCACTTGTAATAATATAAGTACTTCAGAATATTCGAGTTTTACATCGCTAACTTGTTGAATAATTACAAATTGTCAGTTTAACCGTTGAAATAACCCGACCGCGAAACCGGATTATTCTGTTAAACTGACACGATTTGTAACTGTGCAGGAACTTTCAGATGTATAACCTTGAAGATTTTGAAGTTCGAATTGTATTCAATGCCATTATTTGAAAGAACCTCAAAATTTGACGACTCGCTTCGTTTGTATGTAACAATATGAATTGGTCACTATGGAAATGAAAATAATTCTGAATTTCTAATTGGTGGAACGACTCTATGTATATCCAGGTATATTCGAAATTATACAAGGTAGCTCAACTCAATTGAACGTTCTGATTGAAACAACGATTTGGGTGATGAGCACGAAACAAACACATAATATCCATTCTGTAATGATATATGAAAAAACTTCACCAACCCTTCATAATTAAAGAACTGAACAGCACCCCAACCGATCTCCTCTTCTTTGTAAAACGGAAGATTAGTATTTTTAGTTTCTTCACTTTCCGTAGTAACCAGAGTTTTGCCAAACAACTGCAGGACCAATCGGGACTCTCTAGACAAACTGTTTATCGGTACATCTTCGAATTCCAGCCTGGAAAAAAATACTACCCCTCATCCAAACGTTTTCGAAATAAATTGTTTCTGAAATACCAATTATCGAATACGATCCTCGATGGCCAGTACTTGTCCATTTCCAGTTTTTTACTAGTTTGCGAACAGACAGATCGACCGATTTTCTTCGTTCCGTGACAAATTTGGGCTGTGATGCTGTAGTCCTCGTAGTCCCAGTCGAATGACGGTCGATAGACAGCGCACAGTCTCACGACTACAGAATCTATGATGTCATGGACGTATCTTGTTGCTGAAAAAGGGTAATTCACCCAATAAGTCTCGTGCACGATGACCGACCCTGGAGGTAAAACATTGAAACACAACCTCACTTTTTTGATTTTTTTTTACGGAGGAATCAAAGGATTGAAATAGTTTTTCACAACATTTTGGCATACGAATCGTGTTTTTTGCACTATTCATTAATTCAAGCATACCTTCCCATTGTGCTGTTATACAATGCACAAAAAATGCAGCGAGAGACGAAGGAATATGATTTTTCAGAATACTAATCTCACATAGTTTTCATTATGAAAGTTTGTTATTTGTTATTAAAATTTCTTCTGCCACTTCTGCAATAGAAACTAATACTGCTGATAGATTGAAAATTTCTACGACACACACGATCATATTCCGTCAGCATGTCAGACCAAACCTCCCGTTTGATTGCAGGAATCCAATCTTCTTGCATTATTTCAGAAATTTCATGAGTATTTCTGTTAGCTCCTATAGGCGACTGAGATTAAGATCGTAGCGCCAGAACGGCGAATGTCGGTACTACTCTATGGGCCATTGGCGGATTGTTTACATTGTTTGGTAATGGTGTTTATGTTCATTTCGTTTTGAGTTTTCAAACGTTCAGCTTTGTTATTTGTCAATTTTTGATCTTTGTATTTTCCAGCGGTCTTTTGTGTTTTGATTGAGGACTACTGTTCAACATTAGATAACTTCCCTACCTCTAGTTGAACTTCATATATATACCAACATACATAAGCTGTAAGTTTTTATCATTATTGAACAAGAATTCTCATGAAAACCTGTGTGGGATGTTGATTTCCAATTCGAATATATGGCTGGGATATTCCCCTGATAGCATGATATTTTTAAAACAAAATCCAGCATATTTTTTGGGAATAAAAAGTTCTTTCGAAGATGAATTTAGGTATTCAGTTTCTACTTGACTTTTCACAACATAATCATCAAAACCCTGGTTTGATAACATTCTTTACTGTTTAAAAATTCTACGTTTCATGAGTAAAAATATAATCAGTTTAAAATTTGTTTGTTTTTTAACATGACCTCAAGAAGTAGGTATCATATTCACATTAGACATACATTTGAAAATATATGAGTACATTTTCAGTGAAGTGTAAAAAACAATATATCATTATGTTCACAAACACTTTTTCCAATCTTCAAGTTATGAATCCATACCTTTCTCCTACGGATCACTTCCTTGTTTCCCAAATTATTAGTTTCAAATACAAATTTAGACTGTCCTGATTTTTGAAAGGAATGAAAGCTGTACTCGGGATTTTTTGCTCAAGATGAACAATCAGGTACACAACAATAATGACTCATGTTTTTAAACGTTTATAGAAGTTCTCAAACAAAATTATAGACAATTAATACACAACTAGTTCTCATACAAAATACACGCAAACTAATGTAAACAAAGCAATCAATGGCCCATACGTTAGTTATATTAGACAACGGTAGAGGGCGTACTCCTTAGCATGAATCGCTTATTGCAGAAGGAATTTCGATGAGAAATCAGAGAATTCACCAAATTTCAAAATGAAAACTATATGTGAGTGACTATAGTAGGTACTTAATTTTTAAATCATAATGTACCAACCGGATTCCTTCGTCTCTCGCTGCATATTTTCGTGCATTGTACAACAGCACAGTGTGGTGGCATGCTCGAATTATTCAATAGCCGTAAAACACGTTTCGCATGCCAAAATAATTTTTAAACAAATAAGAAAAGTGACGTTGTGTTCTGATGTTTCACCTCCAGGGTCAGTCACCTGACAGTTCTTGCACGCAACCCATGTCCACGTCATGGTGTGGAGAAGTTGTCTACTTGAATTTTGTACTACACTCTTTTCTCCTTGATAATTGAATTTCTGAAGCATATGAACACGTTAGGATGCAAAGGATTGTGGACTAATTCAATATTTTCATAGAGCACAACCAATTAATTGATTCACTCTCATTCTTTTTGAATCTATAATTGACTATACAGGGTGTTTCATAATTGAATGTCAATATTTGGGGACGCAATTCTTGGGCCCATTCTAAGAAGAAAGTTTCATATGAACGTATGACCTAAACATCCTAACTTTTGAGATACAGGGTGGTGAAGTTCTCAAAAATTAATAGTTTTTTATTAATATCTGTAATACCACTTCAGATATTCTGATGAAATTTGGCATACATGTACTATGTATCAAGAGGCATCAGTTAGCGTACCACATTTTTTGTTGTTGCCACCAGTGGCGTTCGTATGGAATTTCACATACCTATTTTGGCAGACATTGATGGTACGCCACTGATTAATCTCCAAATTGAAATCATTCCTGAAATTCCCGATCATTTCTAAGCAAATTTGATCACTACAATTTTTTCAATCTGATGCACGGTTTTCGCTTAAAAATAAAAAGCTTTTCACTACATGATTATAGTAATATTGTTAATATGATAATATCACAATGCAGAGAAATAGTTTTTATTTTTAAGATCAAATTTCAGAAATACAATTCATAGTTCATGAACTTTGTATTCGTATTTGGTATTTTCGAATTATAACTTCTCATTGTAGTAGGCTATATTAATTTTCGAGAATTTTACCACCCTGTATCTCCAAAGTTGGGACGTTTAGGTCATACGTTCATATGAAACTTTCTTCTTAGAATGAGCCCAAGAATCGCCTCCTCGAATATTGACATTCAATTATGAAACACCCTGTATATCTGGGGGTAAGACAAATTTGACATATCATATTGTGAGGTTGACTACAACGGTAGCAAATGTCAGTTGTGAATTGAATCGGTGACACTGTCAGAATTATTCTATTTCAATCAGATCAAAACTGTTTTTCTACTTCTCTGGGTGATATTGACAAAAGACAGTGCATTCGCCATTAAATGGCATTCGATTTGACAGTTATTGCTACCAACAAGTAGCACAAAATGTCCGACGATTTCCAAGTAAAACATGGACGATTGTGAACAATTACTTATTAAGGCAAATAATATTCATTTCATCAATCATCAAAATCAGAAAAAAATTCTAACTGAAATAGAGAAGTTCAGCTAGCTTTCAGATATAATAAGTTTGTTTATAAGAATATTGTGTTCTTAATCAAGGCTGGTTACCATGGTAACATTGGTCATATTTTTAATGCCTTACGACAAAAAAAGAACAGAAATGATGTCAGTGCATTCATTTCTGATAGTGTTTAATACAATTCTGATAATTGAGTTCCTATTTCCATTTCAAAGAGAATTCGTACGGCGACATCTATTAGAATAAAATGTAACAAGAATGTCTCATAATTATATTATTCGATATTTTTTCATATTTTGCATTTTGATCACTCAAGCTTTGTTGCGAGCATCTCATTCTTAAACAATGAAGCACCTTTTGACTTTGACATTGACATCGAACCTTACATTGCTATTTCCAACTGTTTATCATCAAATGTGGGCAAAACAGAAGCACATCAGTGCAAATACCATATTACTTATAAACATCTCAGTTGTAACACAAAAAATGAGAAGAAATTGAGGAGAACAATATTCTAACCTCAATATAATATTTTGATTGGTGAATATGGATTGTTTTTTTTTCACATTATGAAAAATCTGTTGATTCGAGAATTATAGAAGAAATTATAGAATATTCTAATGAGAGATGTTCTGCCAATATGAAAACATGATATCATACAATTAGGCAAATCGACAAAAAATGCACTTTTTTGAAAACTGGCGGTTAAATTGACCATTTGTTTTTTTTTATATTTCGCTGAGAGGAATCTTCCCTAGACATTTTGTAGTTTTCAAAAGTGTATCGGCCAACTTTACTTATAAATAATTCGATGTGGGTCAATTCATAATATTGTGATTCACAAGTTTACAGTTTCATCAATGTTGAGCGTAAATCTACTTTGAAATTGTAAATAATAATTGTTTCCACTTACATTCATTTGAGGTGGTACTGTTGACTTCGAAGTTCACAGAATATATCTGGCAATACATCTCGACCAGATTCTGAATGGCAAAACGAATTTTGTTACAGTGGTTGTTGATGGTTTCAGAGAAGCTCATGGCCTGAAAAACAAAAGTACTTCATACACCTGAATCAGAATTCTATCTTGATTCAATACTGACGTTCATCGGTAAAAAATTCCTGCAACATTCTTCGAGAGCTTCGATGGTCAACATTATGTCCAAGGTACAGAGGTTCCCCATCAAATTAACGATACATTTGACCGACTGTATGACAGCCAGAGATTGCAGAGTCGGATTACTGTTTCTGTCCATCTGTAAAGCGTTTTCCTCCAACTTTCTCATTTCTTTCTCTACGATTTCTGCAAATATGAGAATTTTGATTATGACCTTGATAGTTTTGTGGATGTCAAATGACTTACCTAGGGAAATGTTCAAATTTTCATAGGTCACACAAACAACTGTGTCATTCGGGATGATGTTGTCGAATTTCAATGTTTCATAGTCATTGTCATCTTGAATCTACAAAAATGTCAAGTTCAATTAAAAAGATCATCGGCTTCATCTGATATGCTAAGACCATTCAGGTTCACACTTCACTCAAATGGACTGATCAAGAATCTAACGATATTAAACTAATATATCGAGCATAGAGAGAGAGGGACATTATTGAAAAACATAAGAGTGGAAGGCAATGATTCGAAACATGTGATGACCACGTGGCGAGGGTATAATATATGCAACATATGTATTGGTCTAAAATTTGAAAGATAATTGCAGACCTCATGACATTGTGTGGATTATTGAAAAATGCGAAACAAATCATTTTATCACGTACCTAGCCTGAAAGCAAAAAATATTCAGTACAAGAAGAGAAACGGAATAAATGAATTTTGAATAATAAACCGCAAAGCACTAACTGGTAGTCCTACTACTTCAGCTTTGTTGTCTTTTCAATCATCCGGAATGGAATTGTCCTAGCATACATTATCTGCAACACAAAACATATCTTCTAACTTCTAATCAACAGAATCCACTATGTGTCTTAAAACAGTGGTGTTAATAAACATCAAAACAATCATTGATGCACTGATTCATCATGAGTTATGAAATCCTTTTACCACTTCTGAGAAATTATTTTTGTACGGTAGGAAGCTGACCACCATATTTTAGTTTGTCGGGTTTGGTTGAGTTATGTTAGGTTTTGTCAGCTGTTTTGAGTATACTGTTCACACAATGGAAGCCTATTACTGAGTGGAAAGATACATAAAACAACCACCTGAACTCACTTCGATGATGCCTTACATGATGTCATTACAATCGCATACATCGTTAAATGTCACCTTTTCATCCTAAACCTATTATCAGTAAAACCAACTGGAACAGTAAAAGTAATTTTGATTGTTTAGTTGTTTGATGGTGGGATAATCGAATTGATCTATCATTTTTAGCCTCATCTGTTAATATAATAACAAGAGTTTACTTACAGTTAAAAAAATCCAACACCTAGCTCCTCTGCCTATCATCCCAAGGTACGCACGATGTTCATTGAACATTATAGGAATTTCCATTCGTGTAATCCAAGAGATAAGAAGAAAGATCATGACTGAGACAATATAACCTAGTAATGATTATTATTAGAATAGTAAATACCGATGCGTTTGCAACCAATAAAAAATGAAACATTCTTTGAACCAAATATAGTTAAAACTACGAAATTTATTACAGCTGAAAGCAATTTTTTAAGATACAAGGTGATTCTAAAATAGGTGGTCAAACTTTGGGAGCATATAGAGTGGGTGAAATAGTTACGAAAACCTCTGTAAAATTTTTTTCTAAAGTGACCCCCAAGAAAGATACAGCTCCTCAAAGGGGGGCCTAGGAGAATGATTTTGTATCATTATCTCCAACACCTTGTATAATGAAAATCTGAAATTTTGTCTTTCCGCTTACTATTCAGTGCCGGTTCGAATGGGGTTAAAATCACATCAAAATAAAATACAGGGGTGTGTCAAAATAGGGAGGTAGGGGGTAAAAATTACCCCAACTTTTTTGTTCATCGCAATTTCAGTTTTTTGACATGAAATTATGAAATCTCAGGGCTATTTACATAGAAAAGGTGCTCTTGATGCATCTCGATAATATGAACTATTAGTGAATAAAATTTAAAAAAAAGCTTGTTTTTAACAATATTTTTTATTTTAGTATTTTCAATAGGATCAGACCATAATCACGAAACTGGTCGTCCATTTTTAATTAATTAATTCCGACAACGAATTCGAAATTTCCAACCACAAAAACCCTTACAAACCAATTTTGAATCGAATCGAACCATAATCACAAATCTGGTCAGCCACATTGGAGCCGCCATATTTTTTTCTATCGAAAAGTCCTTAACGCGTTGTCAACTGTCATCGGACAGATTCCAAGTTGATCAGACGATTAGAAGTAGGTAAAAATTCAGTTGCAAGATTTGAACTAGATAATTAAACTTTGCAATTTAAATGATATTTTGGAAAAATAAATTTTATTCGCTAATGGTTCAGTTAATAGAGATTCAACAAGAGCTCCTTTTCTATGTTAATAGCCCTGAGATTTCATAATTTCATGTAAAAAAACTGAAATTGCGATGAACAAAAAAGTTGGGGTTATTTTTACCCCCTACCTCCCTGTTTTGACACACCCCTGTATTCAATTGCGAGGTGTTTTTTACTCCATTCGAACCGGCACTGAATAGTTAGTGGATAAACAAAATTTTAGATTTCCGTCATACAAGGTGTTGGAGACAATAGTACAAAATCATTCTCCGAGGCCCCCCTTTGAGGGGCTGTATCTTTCGCGGGGGGCACTTCAGAAGAAAATGTTACCGAGGTTTTCGTGATTATTTCACTTACTCTATATACTCCCAAAGTTTGACCACCTATTTTAGAATCACCTTGTATAAAAATGTTTGGAATAATGTGATTATTATTGATCCTGAAAATATAACAGGCTGTCAGTGTCATGTGTGAAGTAGAGCAATTCAAATAACCATGAATTTCGGTATGGACACATTTTTTGACCCATCGCAATGATTTCAGCTATGGCGGTCAATACGATATGATTTATTATGTAGATCAGCTCAATGAATGTTCAATGGTATCATCTGCGATATTCATTAGGTTTAAATATTTTAAACATTTTATTGAATATGGTATTTACAAAAGGTACCTATCTACATGCAATATTTATCAGTATAGGTACCTCCTAACTTCAAGTCAACGCGGAAGGAAGGGGGGTAAAAACTTCTATGTCAAATCACTGTTACTTAAATTCTTACTCGTTTGGAATTTGAAATTTCAATACATGGTTTATTTTGTATATCACAATTTCAGTATAGTTTATGCAGTCAGTTGAAACAGATCATCATCATCGCTCTCTTTGAACTTTCGACGGGAACGACGGCCCGCGGTTGATATGTTGTTCCAACTGACTTTGCATAAACTATAATATGGTGAACAATGCTGAATATACAAGGTGAATGGCATTGCACCTTCAATGGAAATGAAAATTTGAATTAATAAAAGAAGTTCATATTTCTGTGTTAGTAGTGGAAAAAATATTATATATACCTCGGGTGAGAATGCTATTATATACCTCACTGCTCACCTTAGGTGTATAATATATTATTTATCCGTGTTTGAGCGAAGCGCAAGCCTGAAAAGTTCATTATTTACATTCACTTTGAATCAAGTCACTTACAGTCCTGGCAAAAGATTTATCCTTTTTGGAATCCGGTATCAAGATCAAAACGACATCCTCGTCCAACTTGATGCAATCGTGAACGTATTCGTAATCGCTGAGAAACGTCGTGGGCACGAGGTACTCGTTGCTGCCCCACACTTTCAACGTGTACTGACTAGACGTGGAAGCGTCGAGTCCGCAGATCAGCTGTAGAGTCACGTGTTCGACGCTCGAATTGACTAGAACAGCCATTTATAAATTAAACGAGATGTCTTCACTGACTTATCAACAATAGATCCCCTGTATGTATTCAACAGTTTTGCTGTAATGGGTTGCGTGCAAGAACTGTCAGATGACCGACCCTGGAGTTCAAACATTGAAACACAACCTCACTTTTCTTATTTGTTTATAGTAGGGTACCTTGATGGAAATTGACGTCAAAGTCATCTTAACGGGGTACGGACAGATCATAGCTGCATTATTTTTTAATGATCTAGAGACTTTACTTTTATCTACAGGCATCCCTGACATTGTTGTCACGTCACGTCCATGGGCGCTACAGAAAATCATTCAACATTTTAATAGTAGGTATGTACAGGGTATTGACTTGTTGAGGAAGATCATATGGGGATCGGGTTTTGTAATTATGATTGGATTCTCCAGATGGAAATTACGTATGATACGCCAATGACCTCAATATAACCTAAAAAAACAACAAATGTCAAAAATCTGATAGGTATTTTGAGCCGATACCACTCGATACATCTAGAAATCTCAGAGTAGCTACTCCTTTGATTTATTTTCACTACGTGTAACCAATATTTTCGAAACAAAAATTGTTTGCCTGTATGTCACTGTGGTAAATTATTTCTTGGTGATGGAAAGGGTTCGATCTCTTCACTACATATTGTATGCTAAGTTCTTCCATATTCCAGATTTTTGGAAAAAGTATATTTTCAGCCTATGTAAAATTCTTCCATATCGTTAGTGATTTTCGAAAAAAAATAGAAATAGCACCTGTATACAAAATATCTCCCCTTCCCCCCACCGTATAATTCCATTATCAACATTAGTCATAGATAAATAATTGTTTGTTCGGAAATTAATCGGTTATCAGCATGATTCAACTTATTAGTCATTCATTCGGGACCAGGTGGTAAATCAAGACAGTCTTATATCAGATGTCATCACGTATGGTCGAATTTTGTGATCGACATTGAAAAATACGCGAAAGGAATTATTTATCGTTTCGAACTGAGTGTTTCCTAAAAACTGAGTGATCGGATTGATTCGTATATAGTGTTTTTGTCTAGTGTTTCGTGTTGTTTCATCAAAGGCTAACTTTTTTCACGCTGGTGAGTGCAGAGAAATTCTCTCAATTTTTCCTCATATTTCTCTGTATTCATTTAACTTCATTACCCTATACAGGGTATGTCACGACGAGCTTACACTATCTTTAAATCGAGAACCAGTCGGGAGAAATCCATGAACATGTGCATGCTTATATTTTGGTATACTCTCTTTTCATTAAAGATATATTCGACAATGCAGTGTTGCCGCTTCTACTAGAAAGTAGTACCAACATTGATATTTCGAACGGAACACCCTGTATTTTATCGCATTTTAGGATTCTCCCTGAAGAGCTGATTTCATCGATGTATCATACTTGGGGTTTATCGAAAACGATTACAGAGATATAGGGTGTTCAAAATCGATATTTTTCAACTTTACGATTTTGTTTGTGTCGAAAATATTCATTATCGGTCAAAACGGCTCACATGTCCCTATATCAACTTTTGTTTCACTATTTACTGATATTCAATCGGAACAGATACAGGGTGGTTCAAGATTCAGAATTTTGATCACATGCATATTTTCATGGATTTCTCCCGACTGATTCTCGATACAGAGACAGTGTGAGATCGTCGTGAAATACCCTGTATGTTTCGTACCGTTTGTTGTATTTTCTCCGATCAAGGAATACTTTCTTCTGATTTTCGTGCTTCCTGTTCGAAACTGTATCTTTTAAGAATTTACCATCTTCAATAACTGTGATACAGAACGTAATCTTGATTTTGGCCAAATCTTAATCTATGGTCAGGTCATAACTTTTGAACCACTGTGTATAATCGATTCATACTTGGTGGGTATATTCAACTCATATTTCTCATCAAAACTAAATATGAATCGCATTTAGAATCCAGATCCGTCTCCAGGCAAAACAAAAAACTTCTTTTTTTAACAGTGCGCATCCAATTTGAAAAATTTTTATTAAACTCGTTATTCAAAAATTCTAATTTTATTACAGAATAATTACCAGTCCTCAAATTTCAACTTAATTTGAGCAGAATCAGATGAACTATCGATGGATTTCGTTCCATAGAACAATTTGTCAATTATTTTAGATATTTTCGAGTGCTCATTACATTTTCATACACACAAATTAAGTAAGTATTTTACACTCTTGAATTTTTGTACGTAGATTCATATTCCGAAATTATTTATTCTAGTATTGTCAGTAATTTTTTATACATATATATTATACGACTCCGAAGTTTTTGTGATTGTTTAACACCGGAGTTCTTTCATTTCATTTGTTTTCATATCTATCCATTTTGATTATTTTGTATAGGTATAAATATTTTACACTCTTGAATTTTTGTACCTACTTATTTTTATATTCCAAAACTATTAATCCTAGTATTTTCAATAATAGCTCGTCAAACGAAATCGATACTTTTTCACCACGTAAAAGCAGCATTTGCTGCTGCTGTGGGTTTTCTAATGTTTATTTACCTAATGTTAACTTGCTATCATCATTTCTTCCATTGTATTCTAATTCTGTCGAAATAAACATATTATTATTATTATTATTATTATACTAAATGTCAATTTGGATGCGCGCTTATAAGAAGTAGACCACATTGTTCATTATTTTCCTGTTCTTTCCAGTTACTTAACAAAACAAATCTAGATATTTTGCGAAAGATTATATTTTCAGCCTAGGTTAAATTTTTTTGAATCATTAGACTTTCGAAAATAATACTGTCAGTATATCCGTGTTCAATACTTCATCTTATATTTTGTATACTATATATCTCTTTTCCCCCCGTATAATTCCATTATCATCATTAGTCATAGATAAATCATTTGTTCGGAAATTAATCGGTTAGGAGAATGATGCAACTCATTAGTCATTCATTCGGGACCAGGTAAATCAAGACAGTTTTATATTAGATGTCATCACGTGCGGTCGAATTTTGTGATCGACATTGAAAAATACGCGTAAGGTATTATTTATCGTTCCAAACGAAGTGTTCCCTAAAAAAATTAGTGATCGCATTGATTCGTATGTAGTGTTTTTGTCTAGTGTTTCGTGTTGTTTCATCGAAGCCTAACTTTTTTCACGCTGGTGAGTGCAGAAAAATTCTCTCAATTTTTCCTCATATTTCTCTGTATTCATTCAACTTACACTATCTTCAAATCGAAACAGTCGGGAGAAATCCATGAAAATGTGCATGCTTATATTTTTGTATAGGCTCTTCTTCATGCTGGTGAGTTTTTTAATTTTTTTCATTGTGAGTGATAGTATAGTCTGATAGGTATTTTGAGCCGATACCACTCGATACATCTAGAAATCTTAGAGCAGGTACTCCTTTGATTCATTTTCATATACATATACGTATTTTTTGTGAGAAATGTATGCCATAAGAACAAACCCGAAGAAAATTTGTCAATCCGTATCGTTGACTGTGCTAGGCTAGGTACCGCAACTGCCAATTTTCACAGAGAAATCGAAGTCGTCAAAATTTCTATGAAATGTTCACACACGAATTGTCAAACTCTTATTATTATCCATATGCTCAGATTGGAAATTTGTCTCGAAATACCTCGTACTAATTGTATAATTTGATTAGTCATAAAATTGTAACCGCCTGTTATAATATGAATAACTTTTTTTCTGCTTTGAACAATTTGAATTTGGTTCACACTGTTTGCTAGCCCAGTCCTTCAGCTATAAGCTCGTACTTCTTTAAAACATGAGGTTCTTCATAAAAACTCGCTACAGGGTGTCACCTGAAACTGTGAAAAATTTTTGAATTTTCAAATGGATCACAAATGAACGAAAACTTTTTTTTTCAACTTTGACAGCAGATTATCTTCGGACATTTTTCGAATTGTCTTATTATCCCTTTTACTTACAGAGTGATATCGAAAAATTACCTTTTAGGTTTTGCAGTCATAACTTTTCCTTTCCAACCGATTTTTAAAATCTCAGGCTCATTTTGAAGATGAAACTTCAGATGAAGAGATATGAAGATCAGAATTGACTCAAGATGAACATTGCACAGTGTGTCTCACTTTTAATGGAAGCATCCCTGTATCTTTCGTATTTAGTTAGTAGGGATTCTGAAATTTGCAGGATCGGTAGATATACAGTGTCATTCATAAAGTCGGCATCATATGGGAAAAACTTTTATTAATGACTTATTTTGGAATTCAAGTTGGACGTTAAGTTTTGCTTCAAAAAAGATGAAGAATGGCCTACTCAATCGGGGCCACGTGACTTTCGCTACATGTCAAAAGTGACATTTTTTCAAATTAATCGCTGAAAGTAGGCTTATTTGTTCGAATATCGAAAAAGTTTACTCGAAAAAGTTCTTTCTATTTCAATTTTACACATGCTTCTCGAATTTGATCTTTCTATTGCAACTTTTAGATTTTGATTTTTTTTTAATTTTTCGAAATTTCTGTAATATTTGAAGAATTGTTAATTCCACGAAACTACTTCGTACCAGTAGCTTTTTCATGCTACTTACTTTCAATTACTTATTATAACTGATTATGGACAGAAATATGATTTTCTTCAGAAAATGATAATACCCGCTTCCAAATTCTGTTATGTTTGATGCAAAGTTGATATATCGTCAAGCATTTAGAAACGAAATTCATTTAAAATGATCTTTTCAGTACTGAAAAAATAAATTTAAATGAATTTCGTTTCTAAATGCTTGACTCAAACATAACAGAATTTTGATGTTATGTTTGCATCAAACATAACAGAGTTTTGAAGCGGAGATTATCATTCTCTGAAGAAAATCATATTTTTGTCGATAATTAGTGATGATTAGTAATTGAAAGTTAGTACATGATGAAACTACTGGTATGTAGTAGTTTTATCGAATTTACATTTTTTTTAATATTACAGAAATTTCGAAAATTTTTACAAAATATCGAA